CATTTTTACATTTCTGTTTGTGCGCACATTAAACAAAATGAGATACAGCTTATGTTTATTCATGACCGTTAGAGGTGCTGGTACTTTGGACAGGGTCAGGCTGGCAGCTGTTTCCTCCTGCTTCTTTACACAAAGCTAAGCTCATTGATTTGTGGATCCAGCTACACACATTTCTAAAATAACTGGTTACTAAAACAGCTCTTTGCAGCAGCTTGTCAGTAGGTTGTTAAATGAATGCCTCAGCCTGTAACTATTGTTTTTCTTAGCTACTTCATTTCAGCCCACCCATGGAAACAGTTGCCCTGATCCCCTCTCTTCACTCATCTGTGACACATGACCTTCGTGAGTGGCCTCTGCCTTGTTTCTACATGCTGTGAACAAGTTGCGCTGGCTGCAAGGCACCTCTGCACGGCTCCACGCTGACCACCCCAACAACAGGTGAAAGGTCTGTTATAGCACTGCATAAAGCCCCTCAGGACAGATGGAGCTAGATGATAATCCATATGAGCTCAGTGTGAAAGGATGTCAGTGAGCCGACATAAAAACTTATGGCAGTGGATGTGAGGAGTCACCGAGGAGATTTAGACGTCAAGCTGTGATGAAATGCCATGTCCTTGTCTTTTGTGCTTTTGTCCCCTGCGTGGGTCAATGTGGGCGAATACAGGCAATGTGCAGATCAATCTGCCATCCGTGGAAAGAAAAATTACAGAGTAAGACAGAAAAGGAACAGTGGTACACGAGTATTTACAAGAAAGATTTTTTCTCTCACAGCAGCCTCAGATCAAAGCTGCGGGGATTGTGCGCAGTCTATCGCTGCAGTGGAATATTTACATAGTTATTACAGAGTGGATGTATAGTCTTGGGGGGGTTGTTTGGGGGGGGGGGGGGGGTAGCAGAAGTTGGGGGGAGGAGCAGAAGATGTTTTTAAGAAGGCAATGTGCATGTCAATGGGAGATCAGGGCTGCTGTGTTTCCTGGGGGCGGGCTAATGAAGAAACACAGATGTGGATCCTGTATACATGTGTGACTTTTGAAAGACGAAATAAAAGTCCTTTCATCATTCATAAGCATAAGCAAGAAAATGCTATTCAGTCAATATATACTGATGCTACAGCTTTATTTGGCCAGTGTGACCAGTAGCTCACGGTGGCTAAGTGTTACACTAAAATCCTTATTGTCATAAACTGCCAGTTCATTCAAACTGCAAAAAAACAAACAAAAAAAAAGTACAATGAAGATGAATAAAAATTGTTTTGTAATTCTCACAGCATTTTAAAAAAATTACAGTAAAAAAAATGAACTGCCAAAAGCTTTCATCGTCACAATTTCTGCAGAAAGTAGTTCCAATAAAAACTGACTAGAACTGGGTCTGTGGATTAGCTGGAGTAGAGTAACAACGACACTGATTACGGATGGAGATACTAATGAATTATTTGAATGTAATTTGTCAGTGCAGTGAGCACGGAAAAAGAAGGTCTATTCAGCTCCATTGTGTTGGTTTGTAGACAGATACTTCAGTGACTCATATTTCAAAACCTGGACAAAGAAATCCAAAAATATCTAACCATTTACGTCAATTATAGCCTGCCACTGGAGGTAAGAGAGAAAATGTCTTTATGTAATTTGGGTGAAACTTGAAACTTGTCTCTTTGCTGGTGCTTACATATGTTGAATGTCCAGTCTGTCTTATCACGCTGCTGTCACTGCTGCTTTATGTCCTCCATCATTTTGTCACACCATTAAGTTGTTGTCATCTTGATATGTTTCCATTTTTAATTTTTGCTTCTTCCAAAAACGAAGAAACTCTTGAAAGTCTTGTTTTTCAATTGCACCTCCGTAATTACTACTCCTGTCAGTATTTTCATCTGTGAACAAAGAGATTTTGATGGATAAATAGCTTTTATATTTCTTTGAAGGTTAATGTGTTTTACATGTGGTTCCTGCCTTTCTCTGTGTGTCTTTGGATATGGAGGGAGCCTCCATCCAAACCCTTATTCCTGCAATAAAAAACAGCCTAGATTTGTGGCAGTGTTAAACGCAGGGTCCATCTCAGAAGAGCCCCCTAATAGCCTATTTCCCTGGAGAGCACGGGAGGCCATTTACAACAACCAATCATACAGTAGGGAAGCAGCCTCACTCCTCTTTGCCAATAATGAGATAATGCACAAAGGCAACAGCACATTCCTTTCCCCATGTTTATGTTGTCAAGTAGAGCGATGATTTATGAGCTGGAGAATGAGATGAATAAAATGCACGAAGGATTATGATAAATGAAGATGCAGGTTAATGCATGGGATCATGCTATTTTTCCACACTCACCACCTTCAGCTGCATATAGTAAAACTGATTAAACATGCTAGATGAGCGCTGTGAGCTGCAAAGCATGCTGGTCCTGAACACGCACAGGTTTGAGGACATAAACAAAATACTGTCAATTGCCAGTAAAAATGCGTGGGAAGGTTGACAAAGGGCTCAGTGGAAGTGTTTTACTGTTGTTAAGTGCTCGCATGGTAATGGCCTCAAGCTTGTGAATGCAGCCACAGTGTGACTCCTCTCACCCACCTTCGGGTAAGCTTTTAATGAGTCTAACAACCTCTTTTCTTATTTCTGCCTGAGCTCAAATGCACACATAATGGGAGAAGGTGAGTGTGACCTGTGAAATATCAAGGTTGAAGAACAAAGGTGCAACACTGCAGTGCAGATAAAGAACAGATGTGTCTATTGATGGATGTGTATTTTGTTAGAGGGGAAAATTTGTCTTGGGATTTTCTTTTTTGTGATTAATTACACCTCAGTCCACAAGAGTGACACTTGGGGCAGTTTTAGAGGAATGGCTTATAAAGACACTATTGTGAAACATGACAAGACTATTGAGTAAAACCAAATTTTCAGTGGTGGAAGAAGTATCCAGGTCTAAGACCGTTACAAAATAATAGCCAAGAACAAAGTACCTATTTTAACTCAAAGCATTTTTCTCTAAGTCTGGATAAAAGAAAGAAGACTGACTATTGGTTTCACATGGGAAATGATCAGCTGTCTCCTGTGTGAAAGCTGCGTGTTGTGTTGACCCATCCATCCACCCTAACCTCCTCCTGATGCGGTCTTTGTCCCTCTACACACTACATCACCTGACATCCTCCTCCTTTGCTCCCGTCATAATTTCTCCAGATGTTAGAGGTCGCTTAACAATAAAACATGACTGTGGGTCGTAATAACCTGCTTGCACGGACGATCTTTGGAGCCTCAAACCAACCAAATCTTTAAGTTTTTTTTTCACACAAAGCTTTTAAGTGACAGTACTTTAAAAGTACTCATTATGCAGAACGGCTCCTTTCAGGTTCTTATTATGCATATATTATACTGAAGGATTCTCATCACTGATGCAAAACTTATTCTATAACAATGAATCATATTTTATATAGGCCTGTCAGATGTTTTATATGTCAAATCCTTGTCTAAAAAGTAACTAGTGTTTCCAATAAATGTAGTGTATTAAAAAGTAAAATATTTCCCTTAAAAGTTTTGTGGCATAAAAGTATAAATACCTTAAAATAGAATATGTACTTTGTAACTTTCCGCCCACTGCTCATTTTGGATTGAACTGTGAACTACAATCAAGCAGTTTCAAAGTTTATTGATGAGCTAAAAAGAAAATATTTTCAAAACTCTTATTGGTGCAGAACTAAAGTTAAAAAGAAGCAAACACTGAATTGAGTTTATGAAAATGTGAATTCGGAGACATTCTGTGTAAGTGGATTATGACAAAAATGTCAAATAATTACTCCGCAATTGCTGCTAATGAGCAGCTATCAAAGATGGCAATATCTCCATTATTACAACACCAAGTCAGAAAGGCCACATTCATTTTCAAGTGCGTGAAAACCTTGTCTGTGACCTTTTTAGATTTCAGTGTCAGTCAGCTATCATTAGCCGACACTATGGCGGCGTGCCAGAGAGCAAGCCCCATTCCTCCATACTGATCAGGGGAGGAAGCTTCACCCTCATGTATTCAAGGAGCGGCGCGCCCACTATCGCACAAACATCAGTGCTGGAGGGTGCAGGAGCAGATGGAGATTAAATGTCTCGGCCAAAGAGCAGCAATAGTTGTTAAGGTAGAGGAGAGTGGGCTTCACTTCCCCCAAAACAGATGTTTCCATCGAGAGGGGATTTTTATAAGACGGAATAAGGATTCGGACCAGCAATCTGTTCACAATCCCTACCTCCTCGACCTTAAACCTCCAGGATACAAAGAGGTAGAATGAAAGACATACATCAAACCTCTGAGGTTTTCCTTCCACTCTTTGGGGAACATTTAGGAACAAGATTTAATTTTCATAAGTAACAGCCTCTAGAGCAGGCAATGTTTTATATTTTATAAGGGTAATAAATTACAGTCCCGTGCACTCACTGTGATCAAGGCTCGATGACAAGAGTGTGTGGGCCTATAGAAGATATATACACTAACTGTATGAGAGAGAGAGAGAGAGAGAGAGAGAGAGAGAGAGAGAGAGAGAGAGAGAGTTGTTTAAACACATTCAGAAGAGGTCAGCTGGAAGACTCTTGCATTGCGCTGCCCACACACTCCCACATGCTCAACATCATTAAAAACAAAAGGGCATGACTGAAACAATGCTGCAGTCTGTGATGCAACAAACAACAAGTGAGGCAGATCTGTTGGAGTAAGGATTCACCGTAAGAATCTCAAAACACACCAAGGAAGGAGGGAAGAGTGCTTTCATTTCTTGCAGTTAATTGCAACCACCATTTATTTTCATAGTCTAAAATGCTTGGATTATACTTTACAGTCATTCAAAGAGGATTCAAATCTAATTTGTCAATACTTTGAATTCTATTCTTTTACCTTTCAGATCTATATAATCATAATACACCATTATTCACATTTGCTTTCACACATTTTGGCTGGAATCTGTTTGCGTTTTGAAAATATACTGAGTATCTTACGCCACCCAGTGGGCTGGACAATATCCAAACAATGACAGATCAAGGAGAGATCATAAAGAAGTTTTATTTCAGGATATGATGCAATGGTAACTTCATGAAATTTAAAATGATGAATGATATGGAACAAAATCCATTTTGTTTTTACTAATTTGTAATCTTGTCTGATTTTACAAGACCCAGCTCGCTGTCAGTTAAAGAGACCACTTGACGTTGTTTGAGAGCTTCAGGCCCTGCACAAGTCACTTCCTCCAGAAAGATGACATTTTCACGATGGACAGCGAGCCACTTCTTTAGAAACTCCATCCTCTCATCACACACCCAGGGGTTTCCTGTTAAGATCATCCGTAAAGAAGACTCCCTCTCCTCCAAAAAGCCTGAGGGGAGATACTGCAGCTGATTCTGATTCAGCAGCAGAAGTTCAAGGTGTTGGAGACCCTGGAGGAGGGTTGCTGGCAGGTCTCGGAGCTGATTCTCCTGCAGAAATAGCTGGGAAAGTTTCAGGTTGTGGGTGAAAGTTGTAGGTTTCAGGGAGATTAATTTGTTCCCAGCGAGGTTCAGCGTCTCCAGGCGGTGCAGGGTCTCCAGGGCATCAGGTTGTAGCTCTTGCAGATTGTTATGACTCAAGTCTAGGTTCTCGAGATGGGGCAGCTTCTGAAGCAGAGCAGATGGGATGCCAGTTAAACGGTTCCCAGACAAGTCCAGCCAGGTCAGGCTGCTGTTGACAGAAAACCACTCAGCATCCACTTTTTCAATCCGATTTTTCTTCAGCACCAGACTATGGAGGGAGGCATGGCTGAAGACGTTTGGAGGCAGAAGAACCAGCTGATTGCCCGTGAGATCCAATATGTTTAAGTGAGGAACACCCTTCAGTAGATCTGAAGGTAGGCTTGTCAGGTTGTTGTGATACAGCTGGAGGCTGTTCAAAAGAGGCACAACACTCAAATGACTGGCTGTAACATTGCTGAGACGGGTGGATTGGATGGAGAGTCGACTGGTATCGGGAGATAAACCATCTATGGGGAAATGTGTAAGGGAGCTTTGGCTGCACACCACCTCTGCACCCGAAAAGCAGGAGCACAGATTCGGGCAGGAGAGGGCGCCTCTTTTTTGGTAACGGCATTCAGCCAGTGCAGTGAATGCCAGGAGCAGCCACAAGTTCATCTTTAAACACTGCAGAGAGACAATATATACATATATAATGGGATATAAGTACAAATGATCAAGTATTTACAGGTAAACCTATCGGATTTTGAAAGTCATGATCATAAATGCATAATCCTACCTGAAGGGCAAAGTAGAACTCCCTCTGTTTTGCTCCTGGACTTGGTTTTATGCAGCGTCAAGTACGTTTGTTCCCAGCAATGAGTCAGGACAAAATGTTGCAAGAGGTAAATAAAACCAAGCATACAAAGCAAATCATCAGCTGTTGAGTGTTGACTTTTATCCCCCTGTATCTAAAAGTAAAGATGTTACCACACATAAATCAATATTTTTTTTTTCATTCTCTAAAGAATATTCCACGCAACAGTTTTAAGTGCAATATGCAACTAATTAAATTAGTTCACTTTCATAATCAGTCTTTTTTTTGGATTTCTTTTTTCTTTCTTTTTTTTTTTTTTTTTTTTAAGAGCACACAGTCTGTTCAACATCTCTGTCCAAAAATCCATGGATCAGCACTTCTAAAGCTCACGCTAACACGGTACATCTTATTTATTTTATTTGTATTAAAACTGAAAACTAAAAATGGAAAGTTGTACTTTAGAGGCTTGAGAGGGGCTGCTAGGTAGAACCAGGTTGACTGCTACCCCCTGCTTCCAGTCTTTATTCAATCTAAGATAAGCTAATTGTTTCCTCCTTCCTCGTCCTCCTGGCTTCACATTCAGTGCACAGAGTGGTGTCAATCTTCTCATCAACTCTTGGCAATAAAGCGACAAAGCATATTTCCCACACTGTCAAACTATTCCTTTCACAACACATTTTGTCTGCAATTAAAGTGCAAGGAAAGACAAACTCTTAAATGCTTAACTCACATCATATTTAATTATACACTCATGTTACACTAATAAAATATTTCATTGATTGAAATGTTAGAAAGCTGTGACAGGCTGAATTGGGTAAATTACCATATCAGATAATAACCAATGTGAGGATAAAAAAATGTTAAGACTGAAGGTTTAGTTCACTGTCAGTCAGTGACATTACTGTGCGACTTGATAGAGACTCAGGACTCGCACATATGATGGTCTCTGGCAGGAAAATCTTCTTCTTGTTCTTCTGAATCCACCTCCAGAGGTACTCCACCTTCCCATCACACAGCCAGGGGTTGGCAGACAGGTCCAGACCCTCCTCGTCCAGGGAGCTCAGCTGGTCCAGCGAACCTGGAGGGATGTGGCTCAGCTGGTTGTCGTCCAGGCTCAGGATCCTGACCTGACTGAGCTCCTGGAACAGGTTTTCGGGGATTTTGCTGAGCTTGTTCCGAGATAAGAACAGATGGGTGAGATTGCGGGTGCTCTGAAGCATAGATGCATCCAGGTTGTCTAGCTTGTTGTCCTGCAGGTTTAGCCTCTCAAGTTTGGCCAGCGGGTGTAGAGAATTTGCAGAGATCGTCTCCAGACGGTTGTTGGAGAGGTCAAGGTTCTCGAGGTGCGGCATCTTCTGGAGCAAAGCAGTTGGGAACTTTCTTAGCTGATTTCCAGATAAGTCCAACCATGTGAGGCTGCTGTTATCAAGAAGCCAATCTGCATCTGTTTTCTCAATCAGATTATTCTTCAGCACCAAGCTGCGGAGCAGGGCGTGGCTGAAGACATCTGCAGGCAGCTCAGTCAGTTTGTTTCCTGTGAGATCCAAAGTGTCGAGATTTTGAACGCCTCTGAGAAGATTGGAGGAAAGGTGCTGCAGGTGGTTGCTGTACAGGTGGAGCCCTTGTAGTAGGGGTGTGGCCTTCAGATGCTCCTCAGTGATGGAGGTGATGTTTGTGAACTGGATTGTCAGCATGGTGGTGTTCTTCGGGAGACCCTCGGAGGGGTACTCTGTCAGGGGAACCTCGTTACAGACCACCTCAGCTCTTCTGGAGTAGCATTTGCAAAGATCCGGGCAAGACAGAGCACCATGGCAGAAAAAAGCCAACCAGAGGAAACCAAGGGCACACCGGGCATTCATTGCTAGGACAACAAGAAAGTTAGGACACAGAGAATTAAGTATGAGGTGGATGAGACCTCAGAAAACTTAAATATCTCACAGAGGTATTGCACCACTGTAACACATCTAACCGCAAAAAAAACGAGTACAAGTGACATCATTTCCAGGTCATGCACATGGTGTTCAGTAACATGAGTAACAAAACGGAACTTACTTTTTGTTCTCTGGTTGAATGAGTTTCAGCCAGATTGCTTCTTACATCAGGTTCAGCAGTGCTCACTTGCAAATTACTGAGTCATTTGGGGCACCGAATCCCTCAATCTAATCATTACTTATTGAGTAAACAAGGACTGGTCACTATGCAGTCATTTGTCAAGGACAGGCAGTTGCAACAGACTGAGTGACTCTAACCTGCAGGGAAAGTACAAGACCTGGAAAAGTGTTTTTTTTGGTGCTTTGAATAAAATATCTAAACTTGAAAGCTTTGCTTTAATCTGAGCATATAAGAACAGTTGTCTGCTGGCTTGCCACTGAGATGTTATTGACATTATTTTGTACTTTGAATTTTTCTACTATATGAAAGGTGGGGTGAAAGCGAGGGAGAGAGCTTGTGGGAAAGAAGCAGAAATGCATGATCATCAATTTAAAATAAAGTGAATTTGATTTATTTTGCTGGAAATTAGATTCATCATCAGAAAAGCCAACTACTTTCAAGACACAAAATGTTTGCTCAGCAGAAAGAAATTATTCACTGTGCATGAGATGTACAGTAGAGTTGCATGGCTCAGTGAATATAGCAGTAAGCCCTCTGTATTTCCATAGTATGGATTGTACCAAAGTAGAAATGTATTGATTCCACAAGCAGTGATAGGAGAAGTATTCAGATCCTCTACTTATGTAAATGTTAAAATATTCCATTATAAGTCCTGCATTCAAAAATGTTACGTATTACAAGTAAAACTAATCATTATATATAAAATCTATCAATTATAATTTATGAATTATATTATTACGGTATTACTGTATTGTTGAGGCTGATTTTATAAAACATGTTTAATAAAATCTTAATTAGCAAACCACAGTTGCAATACTTCCCTCTGACATGTAGTTATTTAAGTAAATGTACTTAATTACATTCAACCAATGGAAACAACTGTACAGTGTCTGACAGAGCAAATAAATTAACTAAAGTCAAAATGTCAAGATGATTTTATCAATAATGGTTCAATCTTTTTTCATCACAGCCTCATTAAGACAAGTTAAGATCTTTGACAGTTTGCTCATGTTATTAGGCTGCTGTGACTTTTTTGTGTTTTATTTTTTAAACATAACTAAACTAGAAAGAGAAAGAAAATCCAGCCTCATTAAGGATACACAGAGGAGCACAAGTAGTTAAACAACAAATTCAGGACAAAGTTTAAACAACAACAATCATCAGTACACTGTGTTCTTGAAAGAACATCTATTAGCACATCAAGTGTAGTACTATGTGGGGTTACAGACACATGCGTTTCAATTTTTACCCATATTAGGTAAATGAAACAGGATGAGAAAGTATTCAGATCCTTTACTTAAGTAAAAGAAACAATACTGCAATATAGAAATGCTCCATTACAAACAGGAACGTAGTGCTGTTAGTTTAAGTAGTACACCTGTGAGGTTTCTAATTTTCTAAGGTAGCAAAGACAGGGAGCCAGTTTTGTTAATGTCTCATGGTCAGATGACCTGTACTAACCCACGTCACCAAGAAAGTAGACTGCTTCCCAACCTACTGACAACCTATCTTAGTAGCTGGTAGATCCTTGTTTTACTTTAAAAATATTTCAGAGGAGTTCCATCTACCCACGAACCTGATGTATGCAACAAACCAGTCACATGATAAAGACATTAATTAAGCTCTGTGACCAGGTTTCATAAGGTTTTTAAAAACAATAGAGGTTTATAAGTTGCATGATAACAGCTCCATCTGGTATAGCTGATGCTTATACAGCGTAATAACCGAGCCGATCTCTATCAACAATGTTGTGTGTGTTGTAGAAATATCATGTTTTTAGGGCCAGTAGTGAGGGCAAAAAAATGTGTTGATGCACTACTGGTATGCTCTTGAATGCCCTCCTCAGGTGAATACTACAAAAACAATTCTGACTCTCTGCTGTCAACCTCAAGCTCAAGTGCACCTCCAGCTCCTCATAGACAATCTCCAGTGGAAAACAACTGTCACTTCAGGTTGATACTAGTGTATCACATCAGGGGCTCTCTGGGGTTACACCAAGCTTTTTTTTTTTTTGCCTTCATCAGGGTGGTACACGCAAGTGTTTCACCATTCACTGATTGCATAATTGCCCATGTGACCACCGCAGGGAGTTCTCCTCTGACACTTGCGGACACTTCATGATTGCAGTGGACCAGACCATCGTGAATGGCAGTGTTGTGAATTTTAGAAAGATGAAGTGTGATTGTTCAAAGTCTTTCTATCTTAAACCATAGAGTGGAGGTTTGGACACATTTCTGACATAAGTGCTTCGAACAATGATGAAAACGAGACAGTTGAGATAAAACAATTACTGTGCCACATTCTTCTTTGCATAATGTCCCATTGCAGGTTCATTTTTATTTATTATTATTTTTAAATTATATACACACATTATATACACATTTTTGGATTATTTATTTTTTGTATATTCTTATTTGTTTCTTGGATGGTTTGATATTATGTTTTCATTCATATTATGTTATGGCAAATTGGCTTTGGTACTTTTTTTCAGGGGTAGAAAACTTTAAAAATTGGTTGGCCAACTTTAATAAAATGATGAACCGATGAAAAAAAAGCAACTATAGCAAACGCTGCTTTTGATTAATGTTATAGTTGCATTAAATGACAAAAATAAAGACATACTTGTTTGAAATCTAAATTAAAAGACTAGAAGTAAAAAAAACAAACAAACAAAAAAAATTCAGGATGAGGAGGAAGAACAGCAGAAGATGGACGTGCAGCGTGCCAACCGGAGGTCACAGCGGTCAGCACAGTAGGTTTCATGCTAATCTAACCAGAACACAGTCACACAGATGATAGAGAGAATGGATTATAGACCTGCAGTATGAAGCACGATTTTAGCAGATGGGCAACATGATGAACCGTTACATTATGTATGGTGAGTGCCAGTTGGCTTTAGGCTGTTCTGAAAGATTTATTTCAGTCAAGCCCACTCACTCCACATGCACTACTGAGATAGAGACAAACCTATTCTGGTATAGTTCAAACAGTCTCCTAAAATATACTGTAGTAAGATATAACACCGCTTTCTATAACATGTCTGCATTTATAATGTGTCTGTGATACCACCTAATGGCTCTATACTGATGTCATTGATTTTATATGATATGCTTATCACTTTAGTATTGTTATAATCTGAACACTACAAGTTAACACTTAGCTAAAACTAATGCAGTTTAATACATCTGTCCTGTGATAAATCCTCCATCATAACAGTTCTAATGTTCTGTGTGTTGAAACTGTTTCAATGATGTGTTAATTCACCTGGAGGATCATTTTAAGGCTGCAGTTTGTGGTCCTATTGAACTGTATTGCGTTATGTTGACGGGTGTTCCTATTATTTTGTCCACCCCATTCAAATCAATGAGCATAGGCTAAACAACAGACACACATCTTTGTAGAATAAAGTTCAAAAGCACCACAAACTGCTACAACATTTATTACAGGACGGTTCGATTAGACTGACTTAGTTTTAGGTGGTCTTCTTAATAAACTGACTAGGGTACATTATATATATATATGAATAAAATATTGTTCAGAAAGTTTGTCCTAAGCTCTTCCATCATGTGAAGTTTATCAATAAGTTATTGTATTCAAATGTTTTAGGTTATTATCTTGCTGTAGGAAGAACCCCTGAGCAACCCCTGACTTTGTTACTTCTTCATCTCACCATCCTGACAGCAATATACATTACTTACTGGTAATATGTATTGAGTAAGGTCCAAAAATCTGAGACCACGTCATAGCAAATGATACTGGACAGACATGAGAGTAGTATCGACCTTCTCTCTTGCCAAGAAAGCAAACAAGTGCATTTCACACTATTGTTTTAACTATCTAATTCACTGAATTCACTGAGATTATGATTCGCACTCAACTTTAAATTCGATTACACTGATACCACACTAATAATTCACGTATAGGGCAGGGCAGTTGAAAAATCTTTGAACTTGATTCTGTCTGCATATTTCATACACTATATCCCTGCTGCTTTTGATTCTGTCTCTGCATTATACAGGAGGGGGGATTTTTGTGGGAAAGTCAGTCTACAGGCGTTAAAATATGAAATCATGGCACAAAATAATAAGAGCCTGTAGCCACTGTTTACAATGCTGTAACTCGTGTTTTTTTTGTTTTTTTTTAATCTTGCTTTGAAACAAATCATCTCTGATCTTCACAGGTTCTGTAAACGATCGTCACGGCCACTAGATGTCGCACTACACCACCAACATCTCAGACCAAAACAAACGCTTAGCCGGCCACAGCTCCGGCCTCCGTTGACCACAACCCTCCCCCTTCACGCTCTCAGTCAGCAAGGTGTCCAATGAAAGCTAGACACTAAACACACAACAAGAAGCACAACCGGACAAAGTTACCCTGCCCTGTCAACAAAAACAATCCAGTCACAACCATTAGCCGACGCTAGCATTGCTGGTTGATTTGCTCCATAACAAGCTAGCAGTTTGCCAGCTAGCCATAGCAACATTTGCCGAAAAATCCATAACATCGGTAACAGCAAGTTTGCATACATTATCTTGCGTTTTATAGCCAGTCACTAATGAAAACAGACATGTAACATTATGCAGCCATCAAGTCACTTACACGTCAAGGAGAAGAAAAGCCAGTTCGGAGTCAAGCTGGAGTCCTTTAGCAGGTAGTAGGGTTCTCCATCTTGGAAATCCAGCTTTAGACTTGTCCACTGGGTCACATGCACTAATGACACTGAGGGGCCCGGTAAAGACGGAGCGGATAAATGTTTTCAGGTCCACCTGTCAACAGGGATTTGAGCTTGTAGTCCCCATGGCCAGTCTGCCTGTGCTCTTGTTTTTATCTCTTACTGTATCTGGGGCCTTTTAAAATGAAACGCGTGGTTTCTTGGGTGGAGTAACTTCTAGATTAGGTCAGTTTCACCTGAAGGCTGCTAACTGCACTGTGCCATCTCACCTGTGGGCGGTGCCTGTGAGTTTATAAAAGGGGGGAGGGTCAATAGTTTAACAGGAGAGACTCACGTGCACTAACATGCACGTGGACCTGATATGGAACAGACAAATTCAGATGATTACAACACATACAGAGGGGGTGTGACTTCGTTCTTTGCACTTAAAACATAAATGAAACATGAATTATTCATTTTCGGGGTAACAGAATTTATTTGAACTTTTCATGAATGGCAAAAAGAAAACACATAATTTCTGTTCAAGTCTCATTATTCTGTCTTATTTTGTAAAGGACATATTTTGTGTAACCAAGTACATCCATGAAAATCAAGACTCATAACGATGTAAAATCATGATGTAAATCTCTCTATTCAGCAAAACTGTATTCATACATTTACAGGACAAGCGTGTACTGTATAATGTGCTGCAGAGTTATATCCATAAAAATAAAACAACCATACACTATGAGCTACATCTTCTGTGTATAATACACAGACAAACCTCTTAATCCTATGTACAAATGTTCACACACATGCCTAACACTTCACGAATACAGATCCAAGTTAGTCACTGCATCTGACTGAATAATTTTTTGGCGTGATGATTATAAAATAAGGCAGTTTTAATCACCAAGCGCTGAGCTGAGCTTTTTTTTTCTTTTTCTTTGGATGTCTCACTGAAAGATGAAGAGTATGCTCATTTTCCTCTTGTTAAAATGACAGTCCCAGTTCTCATGACGACAGCCAATTTCTGTGAATCGTTCTGTCCGTGATAAGAGCCTTCTTTTTTTTTCAGTCTAGTTCCTTGAACAAATGACACATGCAGGCACTTCGTCCAGGCTGCGGTTATTAATCCACAAAGATGAAAATACTCATCTTTTATCGGCCAGGGTTAACTGTGAAAAGAAAGCGAGAAACAGAAAATTATATTAAAATCTGGGATGGTATCAGGTACAGAATGACAGGAGTTCAAAGAGATGCTCACACAGAATCCACACATATTAAACAAGGAGGCTATCCACACAATGCATTAGTAAAATATGCATAAAGAGCAGACAGATACGGGAATAATCTTGGTCTGTATGTTTGCAAGAAGTAAAATATTAAACAATTTGACTATTCCATCCAACTATTACTTTTATTTATATTACTTTGCAAACATCCACATCTTCCCAAACCTGGGCTTTTTTTTCAGTAAAAATGTGCAGGCAGCAAATTATCCAAAACATCAAACCAATCTTGTGACAACAATGACATTTAAACACTGACATCATGATTTTCACTCAGCTGTAAATCTGCAAATCACACAAAAACGTGCCTCTGGCTACATTTAGGCTTCCTACAAACTGCAACCACACACTTGACTCATGCAGAGGTCCAGTTACCCTCTGTCCCCCCACTTTCACTTCTTCAGAAGAACATATCATCATCATCATTATCGACATCATCCAACGACCAACTCCAGTCTTTCAGGCCAAACTCAAGCAATCTGAAACAGTAAGTATGGAGTTCACAGATGCGGGTCAAAAGCCTTTAATGCGTCATAATGTGTTGGGACAATACCATCCATGTTCACCAGGAGGCAGTGTAGAGCTGTGAGTAGTTCACAAGCGACTAAATGTTGCTTGTTATGATAAGAGGGGTTAATAAGCACAGCAGCGCAGCATTATGGCGGGCGGAGCAGCACACAAAGCTCTGCTACTTACAGTCTCCCAGAATGAGAGACGTTAGAAAGGTGGGGTCAGAGGTGAAGAGGTCAGGGGTCAGTGGAGGATGATACGGAGCATGGGGCCAGTGCTGGGGGATGAGAATCAGGTTAGTAACTCTCACTCTAATGGTTTGGTGCCATTTTCTACTCAATTAGGTGGCTACTGACGCTGAGTGAGGGGCCGTGTCGGAGCAGCGATGCTGCATACAGCGTTAATGCATAGGCTGTGCAAACGCATCCTGCTTAAAGCCAGATGTCCTGTGTCAGCTACAGCTTTAGGCCCATTTCAACTACATAGGACAGAGAATCATCAACAGAGACAACAAATAAGTAAGGCTTGTTATTTTGACTGTGACTGAAATTTTTTTTTTTTGGAAGATTAGCTCAGATTTTCAGCCGGATTTTTTCCACACGCTTCCACAAAAGTTGTTTCCTGCTCACTACAGTTAATAGAAAATTAGGTTGTCTTGTGATGTTGACCTCAGAAAATTCTTCCAGTAGAAGGAAAATAAGAAAATAATTAGTAGAAAACACAAATAAACTGTTCCCTGTTCAGTTCCCAATTTAAATAATCTTTTTTAAAATATCCTTTGCAAATGACATTTCTAAAATCAAATGTCCGCCTATTTAAAGATTGATAGATTCCTCACCTGGTCTTCCCTGATGACTGCTGCTGTCTGCTGGGCTGGATCTTTATGGCTCCACGGTGCGTCGACAAATGAGGCGAACCCCTGGGTGAAGGTCGCGGTGAGATTTTTGGAGAGTACCGCGGCGTTGCTTCAGGAGGGTTGTTTTGCGCCGCAGAGGGAGGACTCATTGTCAGGGGTTTCCTCGGGATGCGTTTGAGGAGGTGACTAACCCAGCGCTGCTGCTCCTCCTGAGAGCTGGTCAGCAGGAGCAAATCTTTGGCAGTGGACATGTCATAGTTCACTGTTAAAGAAAAATTGAAATAATTAGAAACAGGGAAAAAAAAAAAAAAAAAAAGGATACTTGATTTTAATTTTACAACACACAAGCCAATCTTTCATCAAATACATCACACACTGAGTGACCACAAAAACAGAGACATCTATTTGACACAGTGTAATACAATGGTCCCTTGATAAGCGTCATAATTTCTTTGTACGTGGGCTTTATTCTATGGAGCAGTTTCAGGCAGTACAATGTGGAGGTGGTGCTGCAGTCGACTGGACTGCAATACACCACAAGGTCTCTCAAATATTTTGTCTTCCAAATCTGAAGTTCAATCGAAACCTCTGACAGCAGAAAAAAACAGTTGGAAGGAAGCATTACAAAAACTATGAGGTAAATAAATAAATAAATAAATAAGTAATATAAATGGTAACTCCCACAGAGAAAGGATATAACGAAGGACCATTATTGGTCATTTATTGAATCAGTTTCAATGTACAAAGATTTTTATTTGTCTTGCTCGCTCAAGATATAAGCTAATACCTATATAATATACTGTATATTAATGAAACTATTCATTCAGTAGTTGATCAAAACAAATTGAATTGGCAACAATTTGATAAGCGACATAACTGTTTCAGTAATTTTTCAAGCAAAAATAAACATTTGCGTACACCTCCAGCTTCTAAAATGTACATTTTCAGTTTTTTTCTGTTTTCTCTCTCTTGAAAATTGTAAACATTTCGGTTTTTGACGGGTGGCAAAATGAGATATTTGAAGACGTCACCTTGGGCTCTGGAAAATTTTCATGACCATTTTTCATTATTTACTGACATCTTATAGTCTAGAGACAATCAATCATAAAACGAATTGATAGATTAATTGCTAATGAAAATAACTATTGTAGCCAGTAATATAAATCCAATATAATATGTTTTTATAGTCAGACATCCAAAACAAATGGTAGCTGCTGAAAAAAGCCCAATGGTTGTGGTGTTTCTGCCTTGTAAATTTACTACGTTTTGTATTCAGACAGCTGTGCTCAGCTCAGTGCAGTTGGGGCGTGTGCTAACTAGATATGTGCACAAATCTACAGTATGTACTCCAAACACTTGACCGAGCATACTGACCTTTGCAGGGCACAATAACTTCCTCCTTCCTGTCCAGGTGGTCTTTGTGGCACTTGGTGTGGCAGCGGCGGCACTCGAGGGCCGGCGGGGGCTTGAAGACGTGCCACAGCGGCCGAGTGCAGGCCTCACAGCTGGACGGGAAGTGATAGAGAGTGAGGATGAACTCGTGGCCCTTGTGGCTGATGTAGGAGGCGCGGTCACCGAACGGCGTGGGCTCCACTACGACCTCCTGTTCCCGCTTGCTCTCACCTTCATTGGCATAGAGGATCTGGAGGGAGAGAAAGAGAGAGCGAAGAAAGGGAATGCAACTTTATTGAGGCAGATAGGTTGAATAAGAAAAAACATATACGGACAGTCTGTGAGTAGAAAGAGGAGGGACAGAAACAGAAGGGAACAACAAGGGTCCTAGTTCATTACCTGGAATATCCTTGGAATTTCTTTGGCATCTGCACGATACACATCCGTGTGAGTGACAGGTCGGACATGAAACAGCTTACTGTAGGAGGAAGGAAGGACGTTTTAAGTCTTGAGATCACCCAGGATAATAAGTAATTATTACTCTAGGTATAGAGTGATTTCCGTTTTTGTAAATAAAGTGAATGACTTGAAATGGCACAATCATTTACATTAGTCTAAAGCAATGGTTCCAAACCTTTTCCAGTTCAAGGCCCGTAACAATATGGAAGCCAAATAATGCCTCAAAGAACTTTTTATTTTAATGATAACAATGGAACATTTTCCTTTTTTATTTGAGATCACTTCACAATTCATCATCTGTATCTTGAATCTTTTTCCTTTTAATTCTTCCTGTTGCTAACCAGCTATCCATTTTGATAGCCAACAAGAATACGATGTGGTCCAGCAGTAACAACATAAAAGTTCCAATCATTGTCTTTTCACAGTGATCGGCCTTAATAATTAAAAAATGAATGTTTTCAACATTTTTAATTTTTTAAAATATCATTTCATTTTAAAACATTTAAAGACATTATTTGTATTTTCATTTTGATCTTTTTTAATAATTACATTTATTCACTAAAATTGCAGCCTACTGTTTGGCAAAGGATTTGACGGCCCATTTGCAATACCTTTGCGGCCCAGAGGTTGGGAACCACTGGTCTAAAATATTTCTTAACTCATACTTCATCCTTATCCTATTGCTTACCCTGGTTTTAGCTCATTATACTCCCTATGTGATTAGTATGTGTCTTAAATCTCACTATTAAGTTAACTTTTCAGTGTCTATTATATAGCAAGTAGTGAATGAGCGAATGAGGGGACGGTTTGGGACACATGTTGTGAAGCACTCTGTAGCGACTCACTCAATGTCCAGCGTCATGAAAGGGTTGGCCTGCTCTCGGTCCTGCTCACTGTGATAGAACAGGATCTTTTTACTGCTCACCACGACATACTGTAAAGGGAAAGGAAAACAGGGATCAAAACGCTTAGAGGGGGAAATGACTCAAAGGCAGTGGTAACTACTAACAAAACAAATCTGTAGATATGAGAAATAATGGTGGATGCCTTACTTTTTTGTCCCAGCCAAAGCGCTTTGTGTTCTTGGTAGGAAGTGAAATCCAACCTTCCAGCCTGGCGTCTAGTTCGCAGAGAAAAAAACAGGAAGATGTGAACACAATGAGGAGAACAGCTTTTAATCATGTAAAGCACTTAAAAGAACACCCTCAACATGTTTCAGCTTTGGCAGCATCAGTCAGAGAGGAAATGATTCCCCGCTAAAGCCAAAAGACGAGACAGCAAGCCCTGCTCTTTGGCTTTAACTAACACTAACAGACTATAACAAGGACTACGAGGATTATAAGGAATCACCTTGTGAAATACGGCAGGTATGTACTTAAATAACAGTTAGTTAAAGAAAAAACTCCACATGCAAACTTCTCTCCCACATCTTTTACAGTGGAATAAATTTCAACAAAGCCGGGCTGCATCAAGCTGTGAGTGTTTTCGTGTCCAGTGAACATTAAAAAGGATTAAAGCACAGCAGAGACAGAGTCAACACAGTAGAGGGATTAGCTGCAGGCTTGAACCAGGGTTGGCGTTATTTCTTTCAAAACTGAGTGAATAAAGATGAAAAATATTTTGGACAAATGTTATGAACCATTGTTAGGTCAACTGCAGCTTTAATTTCCATCTCCACTCCAGGTTTAAACCTCCATGCAGGATCACCTGCAGGTTCGGGCTCAGGGGACTGTTCATAGGTGAGGGCCAGGGGACGGTGTCCCTGCTCCACCTGCCCGTCATATTCTGCTTCATCCTCAGAGTCAGAGTCAGAGTCAAAGAGAGGACGGGCCTGGTGAAGGTTAGGCCGGGTGTCGATGCAGACAGATTTGTGCGTGCGCTGGTAGGTGAAGGACATAGATTCTGAGGTGCGAGAGTGAGTAATGCGCACTGGGAGGAGGAGGGGGAGAAGCATAAAGAGGAGAAGGTGAAACACAATTGGCCTGGAAGACAAAGAGACTCAGTGTGAAAACAAAGGAAATGTCGAGACCTGAGGAAGAGAGGCAGAAAGAAAGACGCAGAAGTGTATCCGCTTACGGAACTGGCTTTTTGAACGTTGGCTGCCCGATCAGTGTGATGATGAGCGTGAGAGTGAATATCTACCTGGATACCCGTCAACCATGTCCAGGTCGTTGCCGCTGCTGATGCTGGTGGAGTCGAGAGAGTGAACACTGAGGGAGGTGAGCTGGCACCGAAGCTGCTCGAGGTCGCTGTCCTTGCTGTCCAACGCCATCTGAAGCTCCAAACGCACCTGGTTCTCTTCTGCTATCAGCTGAATGACAGACATGAACCACCTTTTACCTCTAGTTCAAGTTCAACTTTTCCACGTGCGCAGTTGAAATGAGCAAAAAAATTATGTGTGTTTAAACTCTTAGAACAACATTTCTACAAATCTTTCTTAAATTCTGTTACAAGAGATGGGAAGTCGTAATTGAGTGGAATCCAAATAATTTAATATTTGAATTTACAATTACTAATTTAATTTTTGGGCTATTATTTTATTAATAACAACAGGTTTTTAACTGGAAGCATGGTGCACAAAACCTATCATTTTCCTTGGCCATAATCAGGGACAGTCTTTATACTGGACATAATGTATGTTGCATGAAGGATAACTGGTGCTTATATTTTGGCCTCTGCTCAAACCAGAGGGAATTTTCCTCCTACACTTCCAGAGCAGCTTTAAATATAATATATATATAAATATAATGTCAAGTCCTGAAAAATGTGATTCATGTCTTGCTGGCTGGGACGTACCGATTAACAATTGTATTCATTCTAAGCAGATATGGTAATTTAAAGTCCATTTGTAACTGACAGCATCTCCACCTACATCTCGCTCCTTAATCAGGATTTTAATTAGGAATAAAAAAGTCAGCTTTCCTCAGTATTTCACAGAAACACAGATGTTTTTTTGTTGTTTTTCTTGGTAAAATGTATCTGTACATATTCGAGCAGTGTGGGCGTACTGACCGCTTGCATCTCAGTCAGCTCTCTCTGGTATTTGATGATTGTGCTGTTGAGCTTCTCCTTCTCCGCTCTCAGCTCCAGCTGCAGCTTCCTGTTCTCCTTCTCCTTCCTGTGCACCTCGGTGCCGGTGCTCCGGTGGCCTCCCTTCACCGTCTCCCTCCTGTTCATCACCTCTGCCAGCTTGTTGACAGCCTGAGAGTGAAACAGCACAATAAAAGCTTTACACAGATCTATGTCAATTACAGACACAGGGAAGCCTGCAGGAATATCAGCGTTGCTGCAAGACACATTTTTATACTTTTGCCCAGAGTTCAACACAAGCTTATAGCTGAAAATTATTCTTAACAACAAATGATGTGACACAACAGCCGTCTGTGAAAAAAAAAAAACATTTTTAAGGTATGAAAGTATAAGAAAATATTCCAGGCTTTCTAGACCTGTGTAGGCGCCCAGACACACACCTGAATTTTTAGTGTCCTTTCATTCTGCAGCTGCTTTTCAAAGGACACTTTGACTGAGCTCATCTGCTTCTCCTCCTCCCTGGCCCTCTGGAGTTCTGTATTAATAGCAGAGATGAATGTCAATTCAGGGCTCATATACAGTTTAACTTACCATAAGTTTTACAGAAGTAATGCATAACTTATAGCACCATTCTATAGACATTAATCTCTTCCCTGATGAAGAGATTAATGTCTACTCTTTTATGACTTTTTTTTTTTTTTTTTTTTTTTTTTTTTTTACAGCCTTCTCCCCATAAATCATCTAGATACGTAAGACAGATTTTTAACACATTTTCCTGGGATGAATAAAATGTCATTTCTGGGGAAAAAAAAAAAACGGCTCTGCGGTGCTCATTAACTAAAAATAACACTCACGTTGCTGCATGTCTTTCAGCTGGTTGTTGAGCTCCTCCTTCTCGCTGGCCAGGTTAGCGACATCCACTGTCAGAGTGCGATTGGACTCTTCCAGCTGTTAAGGTGGTGACAGGGCAGATGTGAGCCTCATTCATGCATACAACAGCAAGCGAGCAAACTTTATTTATAGAGCACATTTTAAAAAGGGCTTTACAGGAAGAAGAAAATGGAAAGAGGTTAACCGTTTTTATACTCTATTATCCAAACTACTGCGGCGTTTTGATCCAACTGGCTGAACAGGTGGATTATTATATCTGGGTTTACCAGCTAAAGACAATTAACTACTAGTTAATCAGCTAATTAAATCATCTGATCACTAGTAACACTCCCAGAACAATGTTTTTGTAAGCGGGTCCCTGTATTGTTCGTATCTTTCTTGCTGCCAGTCTGAGGCTATTCCACTGGTCAACAGTTGGTGGCAGTAACGTCCAAAGCAATGCAGCAATGTGCCAACAAAAGGCAAGGAAGAAGTCGCAAGCTAGCAAAGGCTGAAATAAACATTAATGGTTTCAAAATATTAAAAAAATAATTCAAATGTTGTATGAGGAAGGACTTTTGAAGAACCAACTAAAAAAAAAAAAAGTCTTGACCGCAGCTCTGATCTCACCGAGCTGATGGTGGCCTCCTTGTCACCGAGCTCCTGTTTGTGTCTCGCCATCATGTCTTTGATCTCCAGCTCCTTCATGATCTTCTCCTTCTCCAGGTCAGAGTACTGCTCCTCAGCGATGGAGCGAGCCAGCTGCTCAGAGTCCGCCTTGGTCAGACTGGTTTCCAGCTGGGCCGCCATCGAGTCCCTGCGGAGGGAGAGAGAGTGGGAACTGTTATTATCGTCTTATTAAGTGGACAAATCTTTGAACTATGAAATAAAATCCCTGCTGTCATTATGCCGGTCAGAAATAGACTGCCTGACATATATCAGTATTTCAATGACCCTTTTTTGTAAATGCACAATTTCAGAGCATTTTTCCAAGTGAGAGCACACTGTCTTGTTTGTGTTACTTGCTATTTATAGATTTATTTCGTTTCATTTTATATTTCTGTCTTCACATCTCCATGTCCCTTTGTTGGGTTAAAGCTCTTCTTTTTCTTTTTGTTTTCTTCGTTTCTTTCTTTCTTGCTGTCTTTCATGTCCTGTGTCTTTGTTGTCTGTGACAGAATCAGATCAAATCAAATCAGATACTTTGGTTAGCTAGTTTAACTTCCACACTATTCAGATCATTTCAGTGTGTCTTGTTTTACCGTTTTCTTGACTGGATTCAGCTGGTGGTTAGAACAAACCGAAGACCACAGTTACCTCTCCTCCTGATACTCCGCCAGTCGCTGCTGTGCCTCTTTGTACAGCTTGTTTCTCTCATCGCACTCGTCCTTCAGCTCACGGATCTGCGTCTTGTAAAGGGTCTTGGAGGAGGACAACAGACAGATTCAATCAGTTTCATATCACTATAGATACATGCCAGGAGTCAGACTGTGGAGTGAAACCAAATACTGGACGGTTATTTTTTTTTTTTTTGCTACACTGACTAAGCTATGCTGACATTTGGCTGTCACTGCTGTTTGTGCAGAAGAAAAAAAAAAAAAAATTAAAAAATGATATTGGTAAGAATTACCGTGAAATATTGCTCTGCCTCCAATTGGTCCTTCAATTCCTTCAGCTGGCTGTCAGCCTCCTGCTTCTCCCTGGATCAGCACCAAAAACCTGTCAGTCGTTGCTCTGGGCCAACTGAACACCAGAGCCAAAGCACTCTCCTCAAATCAGACATGATGAATGAGATTCTCCACAATAAATTGCCAACAATATTAAAACTGCTGCTGCTCTGTCTATGTATGTATAGCGTGTACAATGCTCATTATTTCTCCGTGTGTGTGTGTGTGTGTGTGTGTGTGTGTGTGTGTGTGTGTGTGTGTTTTTGACCTGCGCAGCTCCTGGTTGTGTTTCTCCAGGATCTGCTTCATGTCCAGCAGGTGGTTGAGCTCCTGTTTGAGCTGTTTCTCGGAGGAGCGGAGCACCGACACCTGCTGGTTCTGCATCTTCAGATCGCTCTGGCTCAGGCTCCGCTTGTGGATCTCCTGCTCCAGACGTAAATTCAGGTTCTTCACCTGCATAAACGCACGAGGGCACACACACACAAAAGCATTTTCAGTGGGGGCACTAACTTTCCAATTGGGAATTTTCATTATGGATTACTCAAATAGCAAATTCTTAGTTAATGAATAGTCTGAAAATACAGACGATTGCTCATTAGAAGTTTTATATGAGGAAATGTGTTGAAAAAATGCTGCAAATCAAAATACAGAAACAAAACCTCATGCTTGACATTTCTATTTGTTAAAAAAAATACTTAAAACAATTAAATTGAGTATTCAATTGTAAATATCTATCAATTGATTTATTATTAATCAACTTATTGTTTCAGAATCAGAAACAATAGCAGCATATGATGCACTCTGTTATAGTGAGTGATGAAGTTTCAGTCCAGATCACACGCCTGTACTGAGTGCGAGGTGCTCGCTAGAGGGAAATGACCTTCTCTTTTATAGAGAGCCAGACGCACCTCTTCACAAAGTTTCTCCTTCTGTGCCTGCACCTCATCCAGCTTGTGCCGCGCCTGCTTGTAGTCACAGTCCAGCATGGAGTGGTCCTTCTCTAGCTGCAGCAGCCTGCCCTCCACCTGCAGCTTCAAGCTGCGCTCCTCCTGCAGGGTGCACTCCACCTCTGAAACCGGAGGAAATGACCAGGAAAACCCATCAGGAGGGTAATCTACGCTGCACTCGATACCACAGTATTGACGAAACGATTGTTGCCTATCTTTGTGCCTGCTGGGGGCACCAGATAAATGGCAGAGTGCGAGAGCAGCAATCTGAGCACAATATCGGAAAGGCCAGCCTCTTATCGTTTTCTGTCAAACCAGAATTATTTTCAAATGCTGTTTGTCCGAGGTGCACCCATGAATCAGCCCTTCACCTTTTTTCCAATGGCTGTTTTTATTTCTGCTCCAACCTTTTCGACAATCTTCTTCCTTTTTAATCATCTTAATATCTGAGGTGAGGTGACTGTGAGTAAATTAACTTTAAACTCCAGACAATATGCTCTCATCTACCCTGCAGTCATATGTGACTCCTTCCTCCTCCCGCTCGCTCACCTTTAAAGGCCTCAGACTTTGCCTCCTCGATGGACTGGTAGATGTTGTTTTTATCAGCGAGCTTGGCTTTGGTGGCCTTGTGCTCGGCCTCCTCCTGCTCCAGACTCTGCTGGAGCGACTTCAGCTTGAACGTCAGGTCAATCTCTTGGTTGCTCTTTTCCTACGGAGTCACAAGTGGATATTAGATTTCCAGTGGTTAATATTTTAATGGGAATATTTAAGGAAAATGTTTTAATATGCAAAAGGGGAAATGCCAGATAGCCTTAGCTCTCAATCCACACTGGAAATCGGCAAATAGAAATGACAACCAACCTTCTCGAGGTCATTGAGCTTCTCTTGTAGCTGCTTCTTTTCCGACTGGACCTTGGAGCGAGACGACTTCAACTCTTTCACCTCGTCTTCCAGGCCAGAGATACGTCCTGGGGAACGGCGAAGACCAAAATAAGAGCACAGAAAGAAACTGTAACTTGTCTGTTATAGTGCTGAAAACCAGAATTAGAAAGTGTGTGAATGCAAACACTTCATGGAAATGCACCTGAACTCCTGAACTACTCAGCTTCAAACAGACATGATCTAAGGTGAGACATTACATAGAGCTCCTGCCTCCTCTACATAAAAAAAAACACTGCGCTTCATGTTTATTTTCCCTTCGAGTAACTCCACCCACATGGAGATTTTTTTACCATGAGGCATCACGGCAAACAGGCAGCACCGTTGTTTTGATACGACCCCTCTGACCTCAGCCACTGGCCTCTCCGCGAGGACTGAGCAACGTTTAACTTTCCAAACAGCGTCTCACAAGAGGCGCTGGCTCCGGCCCGGCTTTGGCTTTTACAGCCTCTTGCTTCACTCTCGGCCTTTTGAACAGATATTTCCACCTATGATCGGATATTTCCCAAAGTCTGGTCCAAAAAAACGATTCACATGCGGCACCATGTCCAGCCTCCAGCTCCGAGTTGTGTAATGACCCCCCCCCCCCCCCCCCCCCCCCCCCGCTACTGAGGAGATGTTCGCCGCAGTTGCTTTGAAAGATCACTGTTTAATTACCTGCAGTTATGGCAGTGAATTAACCTTCTGGACTGCTGAAGTCTAACTAACCTTATAAAATTTTCATAGAGACATTAAAGTTTGGAATGTGAAAGGCTCTTAAATAATGGTTGGCTGGTTGTTTAAAGTGGTGATTATTGCAGTAAAATTGTGTTTTTCTTCTCATTGTTCATTTCCAAACCGCAGTGTGCAGGCTGTGTGTATAAACTACATAACTTTTGCTTGTGCTAGCTTTTGTAACAGCAGTGCAGGAGTCATAAAGTCAGCAAACCAACAGTATTGTTCACGACAGGACGATGTTTCGCTAACGTACTGGTCATACCAGACCAAGTAAAGCTGTATCAGTAAGATCTCCTGCCCGTGATGAACTGAACAACAGTTTGTTTTTATCGCTTATGCATTCAACTTTTTTCATTTGTAAGATGAAGAATGAGTTATTTCTTCTCTGAAAAGTTACACAGTGTTATAGACAACCACGTCTCACCCTGTAGGTCAGTAATAGTTTCTGTCCCGAGGTTGCGGGCTCTTCCCTCCTCCTCCAGCTTGGCCTGCAGCCCCATCAGCTGCTTCTCCAGCTCCATCTTGCCGTTTTCCAGCTGGCTGCACTTTTCCTGCATCTCCCTGAGGCTGACCTCCAGGTTCTGGGCCTGCTTCTGCACCTCGCCTTGACTCTTCTTCAGTCGCGCTGCCGCCTCCTGCTCGGCCTGAAGCACGGCGTTGGCCTCCTCGAGCTGCAGATGAGAGGAAAAAGACAAGATGAGACTCTTTTTTTTTTTTTTTTTCCCTGAAAGCAAAACTGTGTCTGCGCAGCAGCAAAATGAAAGAGGGAAAAAACAGCACTCACAATTGCTTGCTTGATGGATTATTTAATAAGCATGTTTAAGTGGCAGTGAAGCATTATGAAAAGAGACAGAGCTTTTCCCTCACCTGTTTCTGCAGTTGGATGTTCTTCTCACTGGATATGTGGGAATTCTGGTTCCTCTTCCTGAGATCTTCTAGCTGGTCCCTCAGGTTGTTCACTGATGAATAAATACACACATATACGAGTTGAAGTAGTATTTGATACGACACATTCAGTGGAAGTACCATGATCCACCCAAAGAGTGGTCTCTATTTATATTAATACACAGTGAAACCCAGCTCCCAGGATGTCCTCAAGTTTCGTTAAAGTGAGACGTTTTCATACTGTATCGGATCAATTTGGCAGGAAAAATATATGAAAATGAAGACAAACTTTCAAACCTAATATTTGGGTAGGATTTCTCCCAGGTGCTTACGTTCATTCTCCAGGCTGCGCTTCCTGTCGGTCTCAAGCTCCACCTTGCGCAGGTTTTCGGCGCTCTGGTGCTGCAGCAGAGCTCGCTCCCTCTCCAGCTGCCTCAGCGACGCCTCGACTCTCTGCCTGCTGTTCATCTAATCAGAGAGGGGGATCAGAAGCAACGTAAGTGGAATGAACTCACACCTACTTCACAATATCAAGTATGGCATCCATTCTTCCATCCATGCTTACCTCCTTATCTAATTCTTTGACCAGCTTGTCTAAACGGTTGGTGGCGTTTCTGGGAGCGGGGGGAGAGAAGCACAGTTTTATCACAGATTTCTACCCACAGTTCATTGAATTAAGAGGAACTTGCCTTTTGTTCTGCTGTAATCACTAAATACATGTTTCAGTTTTTCTTTTATATTCAAATTTATAACAGAAAGTACTCGAAATTTCCAGAAAATTCACCAAGACCGTTCTTTCACTTTGCTGAAGGAACATGTTGGAAGAGATTTTCTTATATCTACCATTTTCAGAAACTCTGAAACCCTCAGCTGTGTAGGATGGGATACCACTCCCCGAAGTGGAAAACAATCATCTAATCGATGGCAAACAGCATTAAATTCCCTCCTCCGACTGAAAGAAACTGTTGATCTTCTCAGTAATGGTCTGTTTTACTTATAGTTATTAGTCCCAAAATTAATCTGGTAATGATCAATATAAGCATTACAACACTGGATATAAATTGGACAATTACGTATTCATCTCCTGACATTCTTAACCCAGAGTTTTGGTGATGAATTGCTTGACTGGGACACTTTATTGTGAAGGAAACGTCTGTACACTAAATAGTATATGAGTATTTGCATTGAAAAAGAAACAGTAACCGTGCTCAGCTCATTGTGTTTGTGTGTGTTATTTGTCCCTCTCGTACTTGCACTTGTGCTCCAGCTCATCTTTGGCCTGCATCTCATGGTCGAGCTGCTCCTCCAGCTGATGAAGCTTTTTCTGCAGCTGCTCAGACAAGGTGAGCAGAAAAGAAAAATACGATTATCTAATGCTCATCTCCATCTTTTAATTCCACTTCTTCATCTCCCCTCTTTTAACATTATATCAGGGCTGCACGCACAAAGACACCCACCTCTTTCCTACTGTCCGAGCAATACTCCTTATCCTCAGAGTTTTCCTTACAGTCCTCTATATCCTCCACAGAGCCGCTCTTGCTTCCCTTCAGCAGCCTGAGAGCGACAGAAGGACAGAGGAGAGCCATGGGTGTTTGTAACCGAGTTCACCTGAGGTGCTTTTGTCAGCCCTGACAACATCCATCTATATCCACAGCTCCAAAGATCTACAAACAAGTGATTTATTTACCCTAAACACATCCGTCAGGGGAGGAGCTGAATGTTCATCCACGTGTTAAATTTACTGCATGACTTCATGGCTACCACTTAGAAAGCAATTCATACTGAACACCCATAAGCTCATGGATGGAGAGCAAAACCTGGAAGCCTGCACTGTGGAAAAAGCAATAAGGTCTGAAGATCTCCCAGGCTTCTTCTTACATCTGGATGGATTTACCTTTAGAGAAGTCCTCCAACCCACACTGTGCGCTGCCAACTGTTCACCATGACGGTGGGCAACTATCTCTGGGAATCATTACACCACTCTGCGCCACATCGCTTCACACTGACCACAGAATCTGAAGCCATTTTACGACCACTTTCAGACCAGTTGCGGCCTTTTAGCGTTAGCCGTTCTTGCATGGCGTGCACAATTTTTTTTTTTTTTTTTTTAAATGGAGATGCACCTATACATACTGCTAAAAAATGAAAGATGGTTTGAGAAAGCTTTATTGCCAAATTTGTCATTCAAGATGAAGATGCAGTGTGCCTCAGGAAGGCTTTTTATTAGATGTCCAATATGTATTCATGTCTTAGCCAGACATTTAGGCTGTAAATACAGTACATACCTCTGGTTCCCCAGATTTATTGTCACTTACTGACTTAAAAAGCATTTTTTGACCTTGACTCTGTTTTTTGAGCTCAGCGGAAAAAAGAAAATACTCAGACACTTAATATATCAACCATCATCTTGATTAATATAAGCCTAAAAAGTAAAAGCAGCCCCGGAGGTTAAAACATAGATGAAGCACTATAAGATGATAAACACACAGGTGTTTTTTTTTCATTTATTTCTCCTCCCTATTGAAACCAGGGCTTAAAAACTAGACTTCATCGAAAGCAAGGAGGGCAGTTAAAGGGGCTGTCAGAACAAGGCAGCAGTGTGGAGCTCAAACAGGCATACAGTGTCTGACTGGTGTAAGACTGTATTAAAGGTACGGGTGTGAAGCTGTCTTTTTCTGCCTCGTGCATTTAAAGCGCAGCTCTGTCTTTAAGCCTAGAGGCCCTCGGAAAAATATCCCCAAACAGGAGCGCTGCATCTTGTTTAAATGGAAATCTACATAAAATCCTAATAACGCTAACAAAGGTACATGTAGATCTATTTAAACAAGAATATATGATCAGCAAAGCATGGATCCAGATAAAAGGAAGTAAAAAAAAACTCAAGCAAAATATCAGAATAAAACACTTACTGGTCCTCCTTGAAGTAAGTGAAGCCGACGAATGGTAGCTGGTTGCCCACAAAGGCTTTGGGAGGAGGAAAGGTCTCAGCATCTCCTTTATCAACCTCTATGTCATCAAAGTTAGTGGTGTCTATGTCACTGCTCAGCTCTGGCACAACTGGGGCCACAGCTGGAAGACAGAAACAGGGAGGGAGAGGGAGAGAGAGAGAGAGAGAAAGAGAGAGTCATGGAGTGAAAGTGGGCGAGGAGGAGGTGCAACCAGGAGGGGTTTAGAGAAATACAGTTTTACATAAAGTGTGACTATCGATTTTTCCGATTAAGACCTGATGCTAAAGGTATTTCAGTACTTCAACAACTTCTTGTTAATAGAGAATATATTTCTTCAGTAGTGTTTCTGAGGAAATACCGCTGTTTGCCAGCTTTGGCTGTGCTTGTAGTAGGAGTGATCCTTCTGCAGGTTGGCGTGAGGCTGACACCACTCCTTTTCCTGTACAGAGCTCGCTTTGTGCCCCACACACAGTGCCTTTTTAAAAATGAGGTCGAAACACGCCAGGAGAGAACGCTCCTTCTGCCTTCTTCTCACAGGAGCAGCAGGCGCACTTTAAAAGTCTGCACGACTGGCAGACAGAAATGTGTCAAAGGGCCAATCAGATAAAACCATGCCAGCCTATAAATGGCTCCTAATTAAGAAAAAAAAAAAACGGCCTGTATGGATGGATCAAACTCTCTCAGACCAGTGCAATTCTGGCTCTGAGCAAAGGGCTTATTACTGTTAGGTCAAGTCACAACCCTCAGCGTGACAAATGTGACTCAAAGATGGTGGAGAAAATACAGCGAGAGATCAAGCGCAGGAACGAAACAAATGACGGGGAAATAAAAAAGAACAGGCTGAAAAAAAAAAAAAGCCAAAATGTGGTGAGACAGAAAGAGACACAGGCCGCTCCACGGAGGCCCTTGCGGCACGACTTCCCAGAATGCTCTCTGATAGCGGGCGGCTAATGACAGGCAGCCTTGGCCACAGTGAGAGTGAGAGAGCGGGAGCAACCCTCCAAACTGGGGCGCCCCTCTCATTAGAGCAGTCCACACAGCCCGCACAGCCTGCCCCGCCCGCCGCTACGGGGGGTGCTGCCTCCCATCCATCCATCCATCCATCCATCCATCCATCCGTCCATCCATCCATCCATCCATCCATCCATCCGTCCATCCATCCGTCCATCCATCCATGGTGCTTGCTTCTTTGCCCTCAACCATCCTAGTGCTTAATAAGCTTGATACACATGAAGCCAACATGGAGAATCTTCAATAGAGCCCAAACTTGGAAACAAACGCTCCTGAGTCACTGACAGCTGGGAGGTACATGCAGCTCTGCGGGACGCCAGAATGTGAGCAGTGTCTTGTTTTCAGTTAGTGTGGGTGTGTGTGTGTGTGTGTGTGTGTGTGTGTGTGTGTGTGTATGTATGAGACAGGACATGCATGTGCAAACATGAAGAGAGCTGAGCAGCGCAGCAGTGGCACCGTAGTGGTTTCGTGTTCCAGACTGCCAGGCTCTGATCAGGAGTTCTCTCTGTTGTCTTAATCAGAGCCAGGTGAAGCAGAGAGACGGAGAGTCAAAGAAAAGGAGCCTGTATATAATTATATACAGACAGAGGTCCTGTTCATATTCCTAATACATCCACTTTCCTTATTTCCTTCCTTCGTCTTTCTTCTTTCCCTCCTACCTAGATGATGTCTGAAGTGTGAGCTTGATAACACGATAACTGATGGATATCACAACTGTTTCAGCTTTATATAAAAAGCATTCACCATTCAAAGTGATATGTTATTGACTTTATTGGCCCTAATTGACCCAGATTAGTTGATGTGAACTGTTTATCTTTTTGGTTTGGCTGTTATGGTTTTTTCTATACTTAATCCACCACTGAGTCATTCATTCTATATAAACACTATATATACTAACTTTTTTTTTGACCCAAGACAGCTGTTTTATATGGCTGTAAATACATAGAGATTTTTGCATTGATGATAGTAAATTGTAAATGACACTATAAAGAAAATACAATAAAACACAAAAATCCCAATTTGTTTTGTTCCTGAATATTGTAACTGCATCATATTGTTACATTAAACAGTGATTATTATTTGATGCTGTTTACTGATTTATTAAGTGACAATGTAACAATGTAATGTGTTGTAACTCCACTTGCAACTCCAAAAGTTATGTAACTAGCCAATAATAACAGATCATACATCAGAAAAGCTAGTTACTATAATAATCCTATAATATCATATGAGGCTGTTTGACACTAGAAACACACGATATTCCTACTTTCATTCAGTCTGCCTTTCAGTTTCGTGTTTCACTGTATGCATTGCGAGTCTGGGTGGTGCAGAGTATGTATGCCATGTTTGATCCACTGAAGGATGTAGGGCCATGACAGTTTCTTATATTAAACTGTCTGCACTTCACTTGCACATTTAAGAGGTATTAAAATACATTTCGCAGTCAGTTAGCACAGCCAACAAAACACTGTGTTATTCTATCTAGTGTAAAATCTGCTGTAAAAATGAGTTATCTTTATTCTATACCTCGGGGTAAAATCCATATGCAGCTGGTTATGACCGAAGGTTCTGTGCATCATGTGCTCTGTTGCTCTGTGCAACATCCAGCCATATAGCATCAGATATGAGTAAGGAGCATATGGAGAGCATGTGCACCATATATGCAGGCTTAATGGCTCAGGAGACGGAAATAAACTATGAACAAAGGCTGAAACAAAACAGATCTGTAGAGGAACGTGCTGGAGATGATAAGAAGTAGAGGAATGGCAAGAAGAAGAAAAAATAAAAAGGGTCACACATTTCCAGAGATGGAAAGAAATCTGCACCTGCATTGTGGGGGTTTAAAATAAAAGTTAAAATGGGAACACTTACTCTCTCGGATGTTGTCAAAGGTCCACTGGTCGCTCTTGAAGAAGGGGTGGCATTTGATCTCGTCCACTCCAGTGCGGCCTAGACGAACCGTCCTGCACACAGCAACAGGACCGAGACTGTGAGCAGAGCCTCCTCGGCCAAAACACAAAACACACCCAGCTCCGCCCCTCCACCCACCACCATCACCAGCATATCATCCCAAAAAACACAGCCTAGCGGAGTGACCACTCGGCCCTGACCGCACTGACCACCATGGAGAGCCGCATGACCACTGGTGGACGGCGGACACGCCTGAAAACCTCCTCTGACCAGTCACAGTCGAGATAATATAGATCCAGGAGGAGAGAGGGAGTGAAGATAGCAGGATCAGAGTGCAGGAGGCAACATCAACACACCTGACTGAGTCAAGCACGACTGCTCGAGCTGCTGCTGCCTTCCCTGCAAAGACTCTAAACACACTCTTCCTCTCTTTCTCCCTCTCTCTCGCCTCGTCCCCCCTTTACTCCCTCCTTCACCGCTGGGTACAGGGCTGGAGGGGTGCGGCAGTTTAGGCTTGCCACGTGTGGGACATTCCAGACCCAGCCAAGAGGAAGAGAGGGCAGGGGCGGGGAGGAAGAGAGAGAAAAAGGAGTTTTTAAACCCCCACAAAAAAAGAAAAATCAGACATGCAACCAAAGCCAGGCTTACGACTGTGCCCGGAAAACTGCAGGAGTGCAAAGGAGAAAGTTACAGCAGAAAAACAGGAAGGATGGAGAATTGGAAAGTGGCACCAAGAAAAGGTAGAAGAAGAAATTTACAAGAAATTTGGAGAGCGATGAAAGACATTTGGGGAAGAAGGAAAGAAGTTCCAAAATCTAAAAAGAAGAAGAAGATTGCAGTGTTCACAGGAATGATTCAGCATCACAGGGTGACAGTGACAGAGCATGTGGGTTAAGTGGTGAATGCAGTCATTGGTCAGTGTTAAAGGTTTGTGCGTGTGTGTGTGTGTGTGTGTGTGTGTGTGTGTGTGTGTGTGTGTGTGGGCGTGCGGCTGGGTAGCCGTACACACATGTGAGATTCTGTCTGTGGTGGCGAGAGTAACGAGTGAGAAGGTAAATAAACTGTGTGAGGAAAAATGAAAGGCTGCTCTGTATTGAAGCAGAAAGGGCCTGTGTTTGAGCCCTCCAGGGGGGTGGAGTTACTAATGTAAACAGGAAGTGGTTTCATCCAGGGGGCTGGGCCACGGACCAAGTACATGACCCACACCTACACACCCATTCATGTAACTTTTACCTTTAATGGCAATAATATCTTACTACAAAAAATAAAAATGGCACTGCTTGTATTTCGATGGTAGCTTGGATCAGCACTACTGTATACTCAGGTTTGGAGTCACTGACAGAATATTAGGTTTATTAAATGATTAATCTGGTAATATTTTGTTTTGAATTTTTTAAGAAACCCCCATGAAAAGACCAAAACAAACAATGACTGAATCCTGGAGAAAACTGTTGTTTGTGTAGAAAGCCTGATAAAAGCTATTCCTCTGTAACCTTAGAGCTCCATTGTTGTATAAAACCGAATGAATGAGCCACACTGTTGAACTGCGTGACATGTGCATTCACTGTAACGAACACTGGGCACTGTAGTTTATTTTGAAACGATCCCACATTCTGAAAATACTCACTTGCGCACCAAATGTGTATTAACCCTCAGGTGAAAATAGTTCCCAGAGCGTACTACTTTCTGTTCCTGTTTAAGAAACGTTTGCTAAAAACTACACCACCCAGCTGTTTTAGATAACTATTAGGCCTTTTAAAAAAAAATGAAGCTGTATATTTGTGACCTGTTTTTAAAGGTTTACATCTTCAGTAGGTACAAATGGCACATAAGCTGAGGAAAGAAAGCATCAAGGTCTTTTCATGGTAGTTGTTAAAAAATAAGAAACATATCAACATTGTACATTGCCAACCTTATCCTTGAATAACGTTCACTTTCTTCAATCGAATTATCTCCTTCACTAATGTGCTGATACGGTAGTGAATTTAACCACGCCCCACCGAACACAAATTGGTAACTTTGTCACCTTTGCCAAATCTAATCTTTGCCACATTCCTCACACTGTTTGTTTAAGATGTTGTTCTTCTCAAATGGGAGCCTACAGCACAGTATGGATTTAGAAGTAGGTCACAAACGTACAGGAAGTTATGTTTAAGAATGATTGGACAGTTTGTGCCTTTTACAACCAGGTGGTTTTAGATATCCTTTTTTTTACCAAAAGGGTTAAAAGTTGAATCATGCAGCATGAAATTGTGAAAATACTCTGAATTCTTGCTCAGGCACAAAAATAATGTGAGTGAAAAAATGTTGATTTTTATGATTTAGAGCTCCAAGTGCAAACCTGTCAGTAAGAAAGGCACAGATCAGGGCTTTGGCTTCCGTAGACATCTCTACATCGTCTGGGAAGATGAGGGAGTTCTTGTGGTTCATGATCTTTCCATAAGTTCCAACCAAGGACTCGGCATAGAACGGAGTTTCACCTGTGAAAAAAGAGGTCTTGTACAATGATTGATTTAAGGGGAAACTGCAGGATTTTAACAGCCAGACAGCAAAAAAAAAAAGGATCTGTTGGGCTAAGTTGCTGATGATTACACTGATGACTCAACAGTTACAGCTTTACTCCAGCATCCAAGACAGGATTTTATATAATATAGGTGCAAAAAAATATTCTATTAATAGATTAGTCGAAAAAAAACAAAACATGGGCAGAATAAACAGTGGGTCACTTACCAACCAGCAACTCATAGATAAATACTCCTACAGACCACCAGTCACACTCCCGGCCGTAGTTACCATCGCCACCCTGAGACTGGAGCACCTCAGGGGAGATGTAGTCTGGTGTGCCCACAGCTGTGTCACAGTGCACCATGCCCGTCTGAAGACACACAAAATACACAAGATATACCACATGGGGGAAAGCAAAAAGGTGGTGGAGTTTGGGAATTAAGCAGAAAATAACAAAGAGGCCGTATGTGCACATTTCCTATGACCCAAAAACAGTTAAAAGTCACTCTTTAAATGGGATGAATGTCTGACACAAAGCTATAAAACACACTCTGGTGTGTTTTTTTTGTTGTGACCTATATTTTGATGTGAACAAGTAGTAGTAGCTTGTAGATCACTGTGACTCCTCTAAGAGTCACACAAATTAAATAAAACACAAATATATATGTATATAGTCAATTTATAGCAAAGCTCTAACTCTACTAGACGGTTCTGACCATGTTTTTTGTACAAAAGAAGGAAATGATATGACACACTCCGTCTGCTGGTAGATTTTCAGAGCTCAAATGTGTGAATCCACTTGTGAACCAGCTATTTCTCAAACTGCTGTGGTAAAAACAAAAGCTGGAAAAACACTTCCTGGCTCACGCCAGAGGCTGAGGCTCTGCTGCAATCTAGATTGGTTGTTTAGCACAATAACTTCTGGGACCTTGCAAAACAACCTGATGCAACAGTGCGGCACAGGGCTTCACTTCACAGTCTGAACACTTGGTGGTGCACTAAGGCCCGGGGAAAAAAAAGGAAACTTGTCATGAGAGAGAAATATGAATGCACTGTCAATTCAAGTATCTCTTCAGGATTAAAGAGCTTAATTCCCTCTAACATAAATGGTTCCTTGGTGCTTAAAAAGACCCCCAATCTACTTCCAAGACATTTGAAACACGACCATAAATGTGACCTACCGAGTCCATCTTCATGCATGTTCCAAAGTCGGCCAGTTTGAGATGTCCATGTTGGTCTAGCAGCATATTGTCGGGTTTAATGTCACGGTGGATGAAGCCCATGGAGTGGATGGCGTCTAGCGCCAGCACCACTTCAGCCGTGTAGAAGCGAGCCCACTTCTCTGGTATGTCGTAGTTCATGGTGAGTGTGACCAGGTCGCCTCCGGGCATGAACTCCATCACCATGTAGAGGTGACGGTCGTCTTGGAAAGCACAGCACAGCTAGGAGAGAGTAAACGGAGTCACTTGCTCTGATAGAGATTTGACGACGAGGTGAGTGTGTGTGTTTATCTAAGGATGATCTGTGTTTATCATAGAACAACAGTCAACAAATCAAGTCACAGATTATCTCCTCCAACTTGATGACAACATATGAAACATTATATTTGGTCTATGAAATTTTGTATAGTCTTGTTATGCTGTACCTTCCTTTTCCTAGGATATTTATTTTTATCAAGCACTATTGAGATATTTTTGGGGGATTACTGTAAATACTTTTGTGATTCTTCATGCAAAATGTATTTTATTCTGATTATGTATCGGGTTCTACCATGAACTGTTCACATAATGAATGCCAGCATCATGTAACCAGCTTGGTGTCTACATACTGTATTCCTCACTGTATGTCAAGTTCTCTGTTTGTATGATGAAGACCCGGTAGAGCCAAAATGTTGCCTTTTTCTATCAATGCTAAAATCCAATGTGTGGACACTCCACTGTTTTCCTTAAAAAAAATAAAAAAATTCTTATCCAACTCTTGTAGAGGGGGAAAAAAGATTTATGAATATTGATTCATCTTATCTACGTGTTTCATTAATTAATACTGAGCCAATACAGTTTATTTGCAACATTTTCTTTTTCAAAACTCTAAATATAATTCAAGCAGTTGGTGGGATCAGACTAAGTATTAGAAAGGTTAGAATAAACGTAGACGCAGGATGATTACAACTATATGATGTGTGTGTCCAAAGGGGCCAAACATCTGGTAAATCTCTGTTCTTTCTCTGTAGTGAGAGGAGAATCAAATCCGTCCACGATATCACATCATCACGTGAGAATTTCACAGATTCAAACCTATACATGTGCAGACCTGAACGACCCAGGGGCTGCTGGAAAAGGCCATGATGTGCCTCTCCTCCCAGAAGAAGGCCGAGTCTGACCGCTTGATCATCTCAAATTTGTTCAGCTGCTTCATGGCGTAAACCTTCTGAGAGGCCTTGTGACGGACCTGCAGCGGAGGCGGGCGAGGCAAAGGAAAAAAAAGAAAGAAAAAAAGACACGTTGGCGTACAAACAGTGATAACTGTACAAGGACAACAAGATGAAGGCGGTAAGAATGTCACAGTGACCAAGATAACATGGGAGACACAGAGGGGGAGAGAGGCAGAGAGAGAAACCCGTAACTGTAGCACACACCCATAGAAAGACATGCCTACGCACGTTTTCAAGCAATACACAGACCCCCCATCCCTCCCCCTCCCCCTCCCCCTCCCCAGGCCTCACACTCCTCTCCTACACAATGAGCCCGTCCAGACTTGTTTCTACCACAAGACGCTCAGCAGAGACCAGACTCGAGCTTCCTTCAGCACAAGTCGCACACATCTGGAAAAAGTGGACACTTATAAGGAATTACTGCTTTCCCTTAATCCCCTTTTTGAACCCACAGTCAATTAACTTGGTCATGATGTTGAGAAAGACGCCAATTATATGTGTGATACCAAAACCAACTTGCAGAAGTTGCATAGTTTGTATTTTTGTCGATTCACAGATTGTCGCTCCCTCTAGTGGTTCACATCTGTGGTATGCTGCTGCTGCACGCTGCTGCACGCTGCTGCATTGGTAAACATCTGGATAGGACATTCGGCTGCTCTGCTTCCATTCATATCTGCTACAACTTGTTGAGTCAAAAAGTGCAAGGGAGCAATCGCACATGCATATTCATTAACTCTTTAACGTCTCACCAGCTGCACTTCTCCATAGGCTCCTCTCCCGATCAGCTTCACTTTTTCAAAGTCTTCAAGCTTCACCTGCAGCTCTCGCAGCTGAATCACCGCCTTTTCATCTGCGAGTTAGGACACACACCACACCATAGCAATGCAAAGGTCAAGCTGCAACCGTGTGGCTTCACATGAAAAGTTGCATCACTTTTATGAAACCATATCTGATGTCTGACGTATAAGTCTCCAGTTACATTACACATGACAGTGCACAAAAAAATTTAAATAAAAAAAGGCTGGACAGAAGTCACACTTATGTAAATTTTAGTGATAGTTTGGCTTGCAAATCTGCCACGACTACACAGCAGTTTATTTGGATATCAACATTTCTCTGATAATCATACTACAGAGTTGTTATTTCAGTTGTTTGTTATCTCCTCTGTGACCATTTGCAAATGACCTCCGTATACAAAAAACTGTCTCCAGCATGCAACCTGAACTGAGACAAAAAAACAACAAAAAAAAACCTGACTCTGCCCAAGTGGAGATTTTCTTGAAAGGTTTGGAAAGTAATGATTTTGATTATTTAAAAAAAAAAAAAAAAGTACTACACATTTTTGTGGGTTGACGGGTCGTCTTTTGTGCGGGGTTCCTCATGGCAGAGCATTCCCGTTCTCTTTCCTTCAGTATAAAACAATCACCATAACAAGTTGTGGCACTTACATCGGTTCAGAAATGAGTCTATGTTCTTGTTTTTCCGCAGGGCAGGGTAGTTCAAATCATTAGCCAATGCATTCATGGAATCCTGAAAGACAAGAAAAACAAAAACAATAAATATATTAAAAAAAAAAAAATCACACTTCAGAAACATGGTAAGGATGTTCCTTGAAAAAAGATATTTCACTTACAGGTTTGGCTGATTTTTTCATTAACAAATTGAATGCCATGAGAATATAATCATGTTTCAAAGCTGAATTGAAGTTTCATTTTATGTTGGGAAGGAACATTTTTCATGATACTCTCATTACTCTGTGAGGACAGCCAAGCCCGACCTTCAGCTGGGTGATAAAAGATGACAGAACAGAATGAATGGAGGATAGAAAGAAAGAAGAAGGATATTTTAGTGAACTGTGCTCTCCTAAATGAAACATGAGCAGTGGAGAAAATGAGGAAGCTAACGTGCAGCGCAGCCAAACAATGACAATAGACATAACAGGTCATACAACAACAAAAACTAGTCACATGATGCCATTACCGCCCTCTGCCCAAACACGGGCCCACCTACACCCGCTCCAGCCAAAAAAACACACATTCCCCCTCTCTACAGCTGAACACACAGGGGCAGGGGCGGCATCGGACTAAAAAGCCGGGGCCTCAGTCGTGTCATCAGCGCTTAAATCGGCGGTGTTGGGTTTCACCAAGAACCGAAATGTCTCTGAGATCCAAACGCATGAGGCTGCCAGGGCAATCTGGCAGGTGGGGTGGGTGGAGGGTGTAGTATGACCCTCAGTTCCCCAAAAACAGGGGTCAAGTGGAGTCATTCAGCGTGTGTGTGTGTATGTCTGTAGTGGTACAGGGGGAGGGAATTGAGCCGCAGCAGTGTCTGTCGGCCTGTTTGTTCGGGGACATGTGAGTGGGTGGGCAGCGGCATGTGGAACAATTCTGCACCTTTAAATAGCAGCGGTGAGGAGAGATCCCCCCCCCCCCCCCCCCCCGACCGGCAGACGGGTGGAAATAGACCTGAAGGCTCAGAAGCTATTGTGGGACAAACAGCTTATGGTTCTGGATTCAGGATGAGAGCTTGAGGATCTGTGATCATTTTACACAGTGTATTTTTGTGTGTGTGTGTGTGTGTGTGTGTGTGTGTGTGTGTGTGTGTGTGTGTGCTGGATCAAGACATGGTCACTGCGCTATTTTTCCAGGGTGAACTCTGTAATATTTGATTCGTATATAAATCATGCTCTAACTTTAGCAGACTCAACTGAAGTATGTGAAGTGTGTGTGTGAAGTGTCTGCGTGGATATGCGAATAAACTGATGATCTTTTTTTTTTTTTTTTTTCTTTGTCATCCACTGAGTGTACTCAACGAAAACATAGACACACCAATCCAATATTGTAGATCGGTACTGGTGTTGAGACTGAACATACTCACCAAGCTGACTGAGTATCAGCCATGACGTGACCCATCCACATTAAATACAGTTTCCTGATGTCATGATAAATATTTGGTGTTCCCACTGTAGCTCGTTCGGTCATCGTTGACCTCCGTGTCGTTTTTCATGTCACAGAAATCTCCTGGCCTCATGTTACTTTACATAACCAAGAATTACTGCCTCTCAGTTGTATACCTCCACCAACCACTCAAGTTGCACTTTACATCCATGTACGTCCACACTCATATATGGAGTGAAGACTTTAAGGGGAATTTAATAAAAAGTTTTTAAGTTCATTTTTTGTCGAAATGGAATTTATCACATTTAGAGAAACAAAAAAAAAAAAAAAAAAAAAACTGAGTCAGATTCCTTGTACGTCTTCACATGCTTGGCCAATAAAGCTGATTCTGATGGAACCCAAACTTGTCAAATATGAATGTCGCCGCAAAGACGCTACGACTTCTAAAATGTGGTTGCTTCACACACATCCTCCACCCGGCAGCGCAGAAGATCTACACAGTCACCACAGTTTCAAGGTGGGCGCCAAGATTATTGTCTCCGAATGTGAAACACTCCCCCTCTGTTCCTGAGTTATGGCATTGGATAATGGTCAGAAAACGTGTTTGGTTGACCTTTGACCTTTTGAATATAAAGTGTCATCATTTTATCCTATTAGACATCTGTGTTGAATTCTGTCATAATTAGCAAGTGAAATACTTGAGTTACAGCCAAAAACATGTTTTTGTGAGGTCACAGTGGACTCGACCTTTGACCACCAAAATCAGTTCATATCAGATTTACAGACGTGCACATTATACTGCACCTACGTGTAATGCAACTTCTCCATTAGCTATAATTAGACTCATTTTAATTAGAGCATACACAAAGATCTACCTTACTGATTGATAAACAAAAAGATATTGAGAATGTAAAACAGATGACGCAGATGACGCAGCAGGTTTTGCATTCTTCTCTTACTGTCGTGCATCGAGATGTTTGCTACAGGAACAATCCACACCACCAGTGAGACAAAGGAGTTGACTGTGAACTACCAGTGAAGGTAAAAGCCTTTAACACCTGATGTGTTACAGTTCAAGTCTCTGCTAGTTTCTCATCTCATTTATCCTGCGATTCCTACAACTATTTGCCTGGGACAGTCGGCATGTGTTATCTTGCGGCGTGAAGGCTTTAAATCTCTCGTCCCCCTGATTCACCATAAGACAATTCGATCAAGTCTGATTTTTGCCTCTGGACAAATCTGAACACGATTCTGCAGTCACGGCCGCGTTGCGTCTCCTCTCCTCTCCGCCCTACACAACGCCACCCATCTACTCCACTGTGAGCTCATACCATCACAGAGCACATTCAGCAACAATGAAGGTGCTCAGATTGCATCGAAATGTAAACCGTGTTCAACTCGAACAGATCCGGCCTCCGCCATTCTGAAGGGTACTGAAGAAACATGCCTTCCCTGATACAAACTAGGCCTGCCTTGAATTGTTCCTCAGATTCCTGAATTAAATTGTGCATTTCCTTTCCATTAATGCCTCTATCAATCACTGTGTTTGGATACTAACAGTATACAGACAGAAACAACTTTACACGTACACACAGTGAATGCGTCATCCCATCTGAGGGTTTTGGTAAGTAAGATAAATAGCTTATGAAGAATATACTGACTGGCATATCCAACTCATTTGTTATGTGTTATTATTAAAAAGAGTTGTCTTAATTTGTCTTACCAGCAAGTCCTTACATTTTAGAGGCCAGAATCATCGAGTGCTGGTGTTTTTATTTGACAAATTACTTAAATAATCAATCAATTTATCATTTATCGTTAGGGCACAACACACTCCCACATGACAGTTCAATTAAATATTGAAGCCCTGACTTAAGATCATTTATTTATTTTACGCAATCATATTTATTCTAATTTATCTTGTATTTTATGCCTTGTACTTGCATTTTATCTTTTACTGTGTGTTGTAAGGTATCCTTGGGTGCCTTGAAAGGCGCCTATAAATAAAATGTATTATTATTATTATTATTATTTTTATTTTACCATTATGACCCTAAGCACACATTTTCTTTGCTTTCTTTCATTATAAATCGTACATCTTAAGGTTCTGGACTCCTGGCCAGACAAAACAAAACATCTAAAGTGATTTTCACTATTTTTCATGGGCTAAATGATGATCCTTTGTTCCACAGATTAAAGAAATGCTTCAAAAATAAAACATCTTTTGTGTGAACACAACAAAAATAATTGTGGACAAACAGGAAATAGTGATGTGAGGTCGCGGTGGGGGTTATCTCCATCTCAATTCCAGGAAGTGACTACAGCTTCCTGTGCGGTAGCTCCCTGCATTAGGCAGCATGGTGACCATTGTTATCTCCACTACAGAGCTGCTTGGAACCAGATGCAGCTGACTGCTGTGATAAAACTGAAAATGATGACTGGTGAGGTTTGGACGGCGAGTGGACATGGGCTTAAACTGAACCATTTCATGGTGTTATCCGATTATGCTATTGTACGACATAAGTTTGGGGTTATTCTTGTAAAGATAAGATTTTTACCTGTGACTCACCAGGTCCCAGAATAGACACATTTCCAGCAGCGGGAAACAGAACTATTTATTTATGTACCAGTATATGCACCATCCAATCTCCTTTAACTGTTAACTTGCTGACCTCAATAATGGTCCCCAATGCATGCTTGGATGGGTTTGCTTTTCAGACGGCACCAAAATAACCTGACTAACATCCACGGCTGGTGGCGTTCTGTTAATATCAACCCTGCACGAAGCAACTGAACATTTCAGTCTCCATCTGATTATTTCATCTACTGAGTAGAAGAGTGAATCAAGTCTTGACATTTCCTCAAAGGTGTCTCTGGGTTGCCTCAAAGGTACAACGCTTACCATGCTTTAAATTGTGTGTTACCACAAGTACTGAGTTGTGGACTGATTTTCCAAGAGACGACCCACCAAGAAAGTGTTAGGTAACAAGGAAAGGTTTAAGGTCATAAAAGCTCCATATCAGCTCAAAAAGGTGTAGTTGTTGTTGGAGGTTGGGGCAGAATGGCTGAACAGGGGCAATTGTGTTATCAAAGTTGGCGGAGGACATTCTTGGGACAGGTCAGAGAGAGGTCATGTCAATTAGAGGCCACACCAAGAGACTCAACAGGTTAATCTCAGACAGCCATGATGGAGTGGTGAGAGTGAATGAATGAACGTTTTTTGGTCTACACCCTTGAATGACTTTCAGTTTCAGTTAAAACATTTTTAAAAAAATTTTCCTGTATTCATTACAGGAAAAGAAAGCAACACATTGAGTTAAGGTGGAGTTTCCCCTCTGCTACAACCCTGATTGAAAGCCAAACTGATGAGAAACAATCAGTTAGTTTACCTTCGTGATCTCACTTATATAGAAAGTGATAGTCCAATCACACCTCTGACAACAGCAATCTGTATTTTTTTCCTTGTTATCCATATAAACCGTGTCACTGTTTACACACTCCAGCTGTTGTTTGAGACTTGTCTCTTCAAGTTATCATGACAGAACAATTACTACGATTGTATGTAAATCATTATCTCTGACTCTGAGTCATGACACCATACTGTAGCCTACCTGTGTCAGACCCTGAGGGAAAATGAAAACTCACCAGCAGGGTTTCCAAGTTTAGAGCCGACTGCGGGTCCCTCATTAGGGACTCCAGCTTCTTCAGCCGGCTTTCCAGCCTGCTCTCCGCCCCGAGCATGATCACAGTGCAGTGTGTTCAGGTCAAATGACATGAAAAAGCAAAAATACTAAAAACACCTGTGGACCTGTTCTACGTTTTTTTTCGTCACAGGACACAGGCGGGAGGTAGACGCACTCCGCCTCCGCTACTGCTTGGCTCAGCTCCTCATGTCAGCTCTTCTGTAAACTGCGGTTTAATTATTCATCCACTGCCAAAGTCCGCGGTCTCTCTCCTATCTAATTAATATGTCATCAGATAGTGAAAAACGAGCGGACTTGTCTGGAGGTGAATGAAGGTGCACCTCACTTCCAGGTGCGCCCCGTCTGCTCCCAGGTAGTTACAACAAAGTCTGAGCCGAGCACAACGTGTCCAACCTGTAGGGCAGCCTACTGTCAAGACAGATAGAACAAAACTGTACGACTTCCGGTGGAAACTACCAAACTAAAACTGTGGTCGAACTTTATGTTGGGAAACTATCGCAAAAGGAAAGCTCCTGTAACCTGTAATGATAACTAATATAAAATATCTATATATAGGCCACATATATATATGAAAATGATTCATAAAAATAAAAATAATTGAAATTAATGGGACGTATCACAATAATTCATCTCTCATAATATCTAAGAAAGTTAGAGATTTGTAAATAATTGAATAAACAATTCAGAAAATTTATTTTTTCAGACATGGAGAAACACAGTAATGCAACAGGTGCACTTTTATTCATATATTTCTTCTGTAGAAGTAGCCTATGTAGGTAAATTAATTTAAAAAAAAGATAATTAAAAAAGTGTAATTATGTAGTTTACAAACATAAAATAAAATAAATAAAAATTCAAGAAGCTAGTAATGCACCTTGAGGGAGGTTTTATGTTGGAACCTTTTAAAAATGGACACTTATTTTGTTCATACAGTGAAATCAAAGTGATAAAAAGCAAGCAAAAACATTGTGTCACCAATAAACAAATAACAAAAAAAATAATGCTGCCAGTACAGTATATAAGGTATGGTGCTTTATTTTGAAGGTAATACCCTGCATCCGGTTTTGTGTTGCAAAAACTTGACAAAAACAAATGCCATAGCCTACATCTTCCCTCATTATCTGTGTACTAAATACGTGTTTTGAATACACCACCAGTCGTGCAGGACTGGTGTCTATCCTGCCCCCGGAAAGCTGCCCCTGGCCTGATCACCCCCCCCCCCCCCAGCACCCCCCCACCCCACCGCACCCCAAGCCCCCACTAAGCCGGAATTCCTGCTCTCTTAACTCATTCATCAGTTTTACCCTCAGTGCACAGAGTCTCGACCAACTTTCAGTATTTCAGGAATGCTGATGCACAGCCTTGCACACGTACTGACACTAAAAATAGGAATTTACAGTGTGTGAGAGGAGTCCTTATCTACAGCTCAAAATCTGATTCATTGTGTTCTGTGAGAGAGTTGGTTAATCACTTGGCCAACATTAATATTTAGACGGATACATTACAACAAAATACCAGTTCTCAGTTTAGAAAAACAAAATAGATGAAAAAAAATTGCTCTAATAAAAAGTATAAGTATAAAAAATAAGTGCAAAAGCTGAAGTTGTGAGAAAATACACCAGACATTTCCTTGCTCTTAGAATAACTTTTATTTATTTTACTTTACAAAGAGGTCTCCACCAAAGCTCTTGGTTACTGAATCTGTATTCAAATACAAACAATGTGTGAACAATCTATTCAGACAGTGACACTGCTGTCTGTTGTTGTTTGTCAGGGGAGGTCAGAAAAGTACCAACGAATTTAAGGCAACAAGAGCAACAAAATCTCTGACACAAAAGCATTTTTTTGTCAAAACTCTGGATTAACACACAAACTGCATCAGGTCAGAAATGGCAATGATTAAAATGTGCAATAAAACCAATAATGGCAGTCTTAATAATGTCTTTTTCTTTTTTTTTTGGCCTCTGGCCTGAGAGTAGAGGACCACTTGTTGACACCGCAGCTATTTGCATGCAGTGATGTCATCACTGACTCATACAAGCTGTTGACAAAGTCCCCTCGCCAGCCGAGGATGACACTGACATAATGGCATGACCTGTCGTGAGGATGTAGGCTGGAATGAGTGGGGAGACAGTCAAATGTGTTGCCGCTGTCGGCACATGCACGCACATACGCACACACACACACACACACACTCTCTCACACACATACACACACTAACTGATAGGCATGTCGTTTTGGAATGACGGCAGGGGTCGGCCACATTTGGAGTTATTCTAGGAGTAGGTGGTGATGACTATTTATCCCTCAGGATTGTTGAACGCTACATTAAGAAGAGGCTCCTCTTGGTATGACACTGCTGAAATAGGCAATATTCGGATTTGAAGATAAAACAATGGCAGCGAGATGTGGAAGAAAAGCTGTCTACTTGGCGTTAGATATCAGTCAGTTGGCACTGTGATTTGTGATGGTATGGGTTTCAGCAGACTGGCCTATGGGGCCTCCTGGTGCTTTCTTGTCAGATAAGGGCAGGTGCAAAGTTACACAGGCAAACACTGCTCTCTAGTGGGGACACAGTATATAAACATAAAGACAAGGGGCATGTAAGAGCTTCGGCACTCACAAAATACAACCATCAGAGAAAAAAAACAACAAAAACAAATGAAGAAATAAAGCACTTTTTGTGAAAATCTACAGATGCATCATCCATAAGTTAATATAACATCAAACAGTATCTGTGTAGAGTTCAACTAGAAAAACTGAAACCTTGCAATGGGACAAGTGTTGACAAAGCCTCTAAGTGATCTAGCTGGTTCAAATCTCATTAGGTATCCCCAGTAGTGGGAACTGTAATACTGATCGCTGCATACTACAGCATTTGATGGTTGAGTATAATACCACACTTGGTAATATTAGAAGTCTGCTTTTGTTTTTTTGTTTTTTGTGGGTTTTTGTGTTTTTTTTTTGTTTTTTTTTTTTTTTTTAGAATCGTCTGATCAGGGCCAGCAACATAAAGAAAAAAAATCAGAATCAGGACCAGTTAAACTGTCATGTGCCGTGAATGTTCATGATTGAAATGTTTCCATGAATATGCATGGCAAAAAATGATTCAAATTGTGATTCTGCTGTTAAAGCTTTGGCGGATCAGGTGAATGGTGAGGGCGGATCTGCAAATCACACATTTCTGTACCAGCGTCATCAGGACGACTAAAGTGTTCACAGACCGTCTCAGCTACTGTATATCAGTAGGCTTCCCCTCATATATATACTATATGTTTTTGTATCATGTTATTGTTTTTGAGGAGGCAGAGGAAGCATCCTCTCCCCCTCAGAGATTGCGTGATACTGCTCAGTCGTCTGTCTTAACAGCCCAGCCAGACTCTCTCTGCACAGTGTGTAAACTGCCCAAGGATTAAGTCTTAATCTCAGCAGAATTTCTCTCCTCCCTTGAAGGAAGTGAGCAGAGAAGGAAATCACAGGCAATCAGTTGTGAGGAATCAAACCTCAGAGCGTGTGGTGTGTACTGTATTTAGATTGGGGTGGAGAGGTGGAGAGGAGAAGGGTATACTATATTCCTGGCTGTCGGTCAAAAAAGAAAAAAAAAAAACTCCTGAAGTCTGAGCCCCCGTCGGCCAGGTAACCCAAAACCTGGAGTGGGGAGTCAGCGTGGGATATGGGGAGAGGAACAATGTGGCTCTTTGTGCAAGCCAGGCAGAGAAAACAAACCGTTTCCCCTGGAAAGAGATCATGTTCAGGTTCCATCTGAGAAGACCACACAAGGCTGATCACAGCTCTGTCTGCTGTGTGGAGCAAGGAGAGGAGGAGGAGGAGGAGGAGGAGGAGGAGCGCATCTGGGCAGCCGCACTAACTCGTGCACACACATACACACACAGAGACACACTTTGGGGCAAGAAGATCTGAGATGCTCCGTATCAAACACTCACTGAACACAACATAACACACAAGCCAGCAATACTCTTTGGTCCAAGACAAAATGTGTGACTGTGTTGTGTTCGTCCCCCAACGTTGACTTGTGATAGTGTGGCCATCTGGACCGCTTCCTGGGTTGGCACCCTGCTGGTCTACAGGCAGAGCGACACTGGTGGGCTGACAGGCTGAGGGACAGGCTGGAGGGTGTTAGCACTGGTGTTGTCCACAAGAGGGCGTGGCACTGAATCTGGCACTGCCATACAGTGTTAAACAGGGAGTCTGTTCATTAGGTGGAGAGAGAAAAAAAAAAAGAAAGAAGAGGGAGAAAGAGTGGTGAGATGTTATAGATTCTGGACTGATTCTGTTTAATTTCCATTTCTGCCGTATCTTATATCAACGTCTCTTGCCCTGGACACTCATTCCTTAATCCACCCATTCTATCTAAACAGTGAGAATGAGGCTTTTAGTCATGTCAACGCTCGGATAACTGTCGCACAGGTCACAATCAAACCAGGAACATCTGGCCCCTTTCTCTCTCTCTCTCACACACTTACACAGACTTTAATTCAAACACATATTAAATGTAAACAGACGTGCACACACACACACACACACACACACACACACACACACACACACACACACACACACACACATGTAAGGGCCAAACCAGGGTTCTGTACTCCCTCTGTCCCATTGCGTTTTAGTTTCAAACGCTCAGCGAATACCCATGTGGTGGGATCGGATTACACGAGGCTATAAAATATCCCAAATAAAGGCAGGGAAAAGTGAGACGAAAAAACGGGCTGTTTCCTGAGGTGAAATCCTCCAGTTGGCTGCTGATTCTGTCAGAGAGGGAGATTTTAAAAAGATGAATAAATAAATAATAAAAAAAGGAGACTTTTAGCAGTGGAGACAATAGAACAGGACAGAAATGTTCGGCTCAGAGCACAGAGGTGGCCAGCTAAAGTCATTCACGTACGGCAGCCAGCTCCCATTACACACAACGTTGGGCCATAAATCCGTCCGCACGACACAAGCAGCACGCTGTGATTTCATATGTATTGGTTACTAAGGGGGCGCATGAAACCACAACAAATGACAACGAGCAAAGTAGGAACTCATTTAGTGAAAGGGAATCTTGTTACACTGGGGTACAAGATAAAGGTTTATGCAGGGCTTTCTCTATCAACAGACACCATTTCTTTCTTTTTTTTTAAACACAATCATTAAGGTGACCCCTGGCCTTTGGAGGCTTGGAACAGAATATGGAGAGCAAAGCAGGCCAGTTGAAATCTAAACCCCCTCTGTAATATCAGCGGATTAATCTCATGACATACAGTAAAATGGTAACGTGATCTCATTATGGCCAGATACCAGCGGGTGAGGACGACGGGCGGTGTTACAGCCGTTTGGACTACCAATCGGGCAAGTGAAATCAAGAGGTGCCTTTCGATTGGTCCAAAGTAAGGAGGCTTTTCAGCTGAACTCTAACAACAACATCTGGTTGGCAGGGGACAGCGGTGGTGAGTGAAGAGGAGGGAAAAGGACTGAAAGGGGGAGAGGAGAGAGCAAAACTCGTACATGGGAGAGATACGAGCTGCGGCCAGAACAGGGTGTCATTATGACATGTGTAATCGGATCGCTCTGGTTCTGCCCCTGTGTTTCCTAATGAAGCCCCAGAGCTCTATCACAGCTGAGGGCTGGCTCTCATATTAACAGCGCCTTGTAGTCTGCCTGACAATCACCTCTGTCTTTACAGCGACCTCAGAAAGATGTCTGCACTGCCTCACTTCTCATGCTGTAAGAAGCAAGGGTTTGACTTATAGACGTCGCATATAGACAACCTCACTCGATCGGTCTCTCTGAGTGGCAGTTTGGACAGACTATCCAATAACCTCAAGGTCACGGTTTTGATTCGGCAGCAGCCATCTGCCCTTACCCAAGACAGTGAACCTCCTACTTTCTCATACATTGCAAACTCCTCTGGACAAGACCATCAGCTCATTGGTAAAAATGTAGAAATCCCCCACCCCCCCACCCCACCCCGCTTCTGAAACAGACACAGACTCACATATCTTGGCAAAACTGAGCCTAGAAAAACAGGCTGCCATGCAAACAAAGCATTGTGACTGTCAGGTTGTGGTGAAGTGATTGCCTTTCAAAGTGACTCTCACTGCTTGTGCCCTCCACCTCCTTCCCCTGTTGTAACCTTAGAGCGCTGAGGAGTGCCAGGTTACTGGGATTCTCTATCTATGGCGCCGCGCTGTTTAGTGACCGCGCACATACTGTGAGACCTGTGATTAAGCCTGCCCTGTGCATGCACGGATGCGTGTATGCGCACATTTTCCAATCCCCGGTTAAATGCCGTTTAAAAGTAATTGCTGGTTTTTAATTTAATCTGTGCAGAATACCACATGGGTGGGGTTTGCCACACAGAACAGAGCAATGGGATTTAGAAAGCTTATGTAAATACAGTTAGAGTCAACTTGGCATATGTTTTGCTGTCAATCTCTGAAACGCGGTAAATGCCACCCATGGGCCATTTGTGCAACGCCTTCTGCCGATGTTCGAATAAGATAAGGATACACACTAGTGCAACTCATTCATACCAAATATACTAACACCCAGTGAAAGCACACCTATCCATACATTGCCCTGCTGAGAAACAGAATCTCTCACCTCCATCCTCTACTTATTCTGATCTCGGATTCGTAGACATCGCCTCTTCAGAGCTGGCTCCATGTCTCCAGCGCTGGGCAAATTAGCAGGGCTTCGCAGGCTACCCTTGTCCCTGAGTTTGGGCAAGAGCAGCGGGGTGGTGGTCCCACCTGTCTTTGGTGCTGTGGGCAGGGCATAGGCATGGTCCTCATCAGGAACATGGGGGTCTTCTCCTACATCCCCGACTCCCGCTAAGGGCTCTTCCGACTGACTGACGGGGCCCTCAACCCGCACTGGGCCGACAACAGAGCACTTGTTCTCTTTGATGGCCTCCAGCTCACTGATAGTGGGGTCTGGGGGTGGTGCTGTTACTCTCTGCGGTAGGGAGGAGTCTGGACTGGAGGGTGTGGATGAGGAGGACATCCTGTTTGGACTGTGGTCCTGAGATTTCAGGGCAGAGGACGTGACATCGTTCAGATGGCTGTTCCCTGTGGGGCTGGGTGGGGTGTGTGAAGGTGGCGTGTGAGAGTCCAGGTGGTGGTAGACAGTGTCATGTGAAGGGGACTGTGGTAGAGGAGGGGTGGGTCTGATGATGTCGTGGAGCCCTGACCTGGTACCCTGCCCAGTTCCTGACTCCCCCAGCCCTGATAGGTCCACCACTCCATTGGCACTGGGCTCCATCTTGACTTGGGTTCTTTGAAGAACCCTTTGGATGACTTGTCGCTCTGACTGCTGCTGCTTATAGTCTGTCAGCCCCTCCGACCCTGGAGCGGAGCAGGGGGATTCATTGTACTGTGCTCTGGGAGAGGATGTTCCACTGTTGAGTGTGGACGTTGGGGATGGGAATGGCCTCTCTGATTTAACCCAATCTGTGTTGGGCTCAGTTGGCGAGGGGAGACCTTGAGTCAAGGTTCCACCCAACTTGTTGGCTACTGATCTGCTGTCCCCTTCAGGGATCCCTGGAGATGGCAGCCTGGTAACCCTGGATCTGCCCCTGTCTACCCCCTCTGGCACAGGCTGGATAACTCCACTGTGACTTGGAGTTTCTAAGGTTGCTTTTGAAGGGACTGGAATAGGGATAGGAATGGGTATGGGAACAGGCAAGGGAACAATGATGGGATAAGGGACCAGGACAGTGGGCTGGGGCAGGAGAGGGCTAAAGGAAGGAATACCAAAGTTCATTATGGGAGGCATTGGGACGGGACCTCTTGGCATCATATTCAGAGGAGGGGAGTGCAAGCCAGGAAAGTAGGCTCCTGGGAAGGGATGCATCAGTCCAGGGGGATTCATAGAAGAGGAGGTGGGGGGCTGCAGGTGAGGAGAGTGGGGGGGTCTGTGGATAGGGCTGGAGGGGGGACCTGGGTGTCTGGGAGGGTTGGCAAGGGGGCTTTTCATGCCCTGTGCATGAAGAGGAGGTCTGATGAAGGGGATGGGGATCTGAGGCAGCGGCTGATGTTCCAGAGGGGGGCGAGGCGGAGGTGGAGGAGGAAGGGGTGCAGTGTGGGGTGACACCTCCACAGCAGGCGGATGTGGAGGAGGCTGGATGGGTCTCTCCAGGGTTCTCAGCCCAGAGACAGGGACCTTGGAAGAGGAAGAAGAGGATGCTTCTGAGGAGGAGATGGAGGTGGATTCTGCTGAACCATGGATTAGCGCTGGCCCTTTAGGGGAGAGGTTTCTATGACGCGCTTCCCCTATGCTGTTGCTGCTGTTCCAGGACTCGGGAGTGAGTAGCTTTTGCCCGGCGACACAGCTCTCCGCCCTCCCCTCCTGACTGGTTCTGCTTGGGCTGGAGCTGGTGCTGGTGAGAGCTGCGCGTGCTTCTCTGTAGAAAACATCCATCTTGTACTGATTCAGACACTTGGTGCTGCAGAACTGGAGACGTTCCTCACCGGATCCAAAGTCCAAGTACTCTTTAGTGTGACGGACATGCTTGCACCAATCACATACCTGTGGCACAGGAGAGAGAGACTGTGGGGGGTCATTGAAGTGATATATTCTAGCTTAAAACTATAAGATTCTTGTGCAGTAAGGAAAAAAGACTGACTCTTTTCCAAACCTCTTAAGGTATGAATACAAGCTACATGTCTGGTTTAATCTTGTAATTTCATAGCATGCTTATATTAATACTTTGTACTGGAAAACAAAAGATACATTGATAGTGCCCTCTTACTCTGACATTGCTGTTTATTTTCAACACCAGTCTGGGCGAGTCCTCTGTATGGGGGTGCTGAGGGGATCTCTCACCATGGAGGTCTTCATCTCTGGCCTGACAGGGGAAAACCACAGTATGATACACGTGGCAACTGCTGTGAAGCAGTTCGTCAGACCTGCATTTGATGGATTAATTCTCCGACGTATGATGATGTCGCTGCAGTTGCTTTAGAACCAAACACTATCTTGGAATCATTCTGTGGTTATTAAACCAAATCTGAGCTTCTTACATAACAAGTGCAAAAAATAGCTTATAATGAATTGCCTTGTCATCAAGATTAGAAGAAGTTTGAACTTCACGCATGATACCAAACCCTAAAGGGCACTACAACAAAGGAAAATACCTGTGTTGTGAAACAGATATGATCCTACAAACTGAGTAAGGGAGATAATGCAGGTGATGTATTGTCATATTATTAATGGCCTTGCCAGTATTAATATAGGAAATTCCTCTTGATTCGTGTAAGCTGATCTGTTGTGGATCTGAGTGCTCCCCCATCTCTGTGACCCATTGAGTCGTGTTGAGTTACGAAACATGAGGCAGCTGAAGGTAAGGTATGCACTGAAAGTGGACACCTCGCCCCAGGCCTCCTGGCCTTCCTCTCAGACAAGCAGCAACAAGCCAACGGCAACGCTTTCCTCCCCGCCTCCGAAAAACTAGAGAGCTTGTTGCGTTCAGACTTTGTTTGACCCTCCTTTTTGTCTCTGCTGTCTTGTGAATAAACCTGCCACAGTATAAACAACAGCAAGGGTGAAAGGCGATACAGCCGCATGTCACCTCACACCAAATAGGGTATATCCCTGTTGTGAAGAAAGGTGAAAAATCATGGCAGTGTGCATCGGAGCGGCTCTCCGAAGTTGCTGCTTTCCTGTCCTCCAGACCAAAGCCACTTAATGGTACTCCATTAACGCGAAACTGATACTAAGTGTCCTCTACAAACTTTGACCTCCCTCCCACCATTCCTATACCGGCTCCTCCATACTAACTAGAAAGAGTATTCTCAGACACAACCCCCCCTTTTTAAATTCCTGTAAATTAATCCATCAGCTATGACCTCACCAGATCAGGAGTATCGGTTTCTGAAGGTCTGTTTACCTGCCAGAAACCACTTGAGTCTCAGAGGCTGGCTGAAAATCTGTCCCTATACAGTACCTGTATGTGCATGTGCATATGCATGTGCATGTGCATGTGCATGTGCTTGTGTGTGAACTAAACACATTCACAAATATAAAAACAAATCTATAGACCATTCATCACCATATAGATATCAGGATTTGCGACCTCTCTTTCACAAAGGTCAAACCACACTTAAATGCCTGTGACAGTTTTTTGTTTACTACTAACCTTGTTGCGTTTGAAGTATGCCCGTCTGCAGGCGGCAAAACACTTCTCACTGCAGAAGCTCTTGAGCTCTGAGCCCATGCATAGAGAGTAGCGTTTTACACCTTCCTTCTGGCACCAGACACACACTATCTGCACATTCTGTACATCTTCCACTGCGAGGGAGAAATCAGAAGAGAGGAGGGCAATCAGTGGATGCAGGGTCTCAAAACCTACTGGTACACAACTTTGATAAAAGCTCAGTTGCAAAGAGGTGTGCGTGTGTGTGTGTGTGTGTGTGTGTGTGTGTGTGTGTGTGTGTGTGTGTGTGTGTGTGTGTGTGCGTGTATGTGTGTGTGTCTTCATCAGGGTGTTGATTATAGATTTAAACATCGCACCAGAACTCATGAGAAGTGAGTCAGGTTTCTGCTCTGTGAACAGAAACTGGTTCTCTAGCTTTCAGGGAGACCAGAGATCCTGCTGCATCCCTGTTTGTCCTTATGTCCAGATTTCTGCATCTGCAGTGCAGTTTGTAAGTGTATGCACGGTGATATATTTTGTATTGTTTTGACTCAGAACTCCAGCACATCGAAAATTAAACTGAGGTCAGGGAGTTGACCTTGTAAGTTTTATTTGAGGGTATTTACATCCATACTGGGTGAACACTGGGTGAACATGATCAGTAGTTCCTGCTAATTTTGAACAGTGCAGGACATGGACAGGGGTCACAGCTCATCAAATTCATCAAATATGGATGTAAACACCTTCAGTTCAGCAATTCGTCATCATTGATACCATTTCTTTTAGGTCCAGTGTATTGGAGAACACATACATCTCCTCTCATACATCAACAGGAAATGCGTTACTGTAAAAACACTTATTAGCTGCATGGTATATAAAGGTGAGGCTATGGGACAACATCAGCTTATGCACCCAATGTTTGTCATTAGATTTTCATGTATAAAACTTACAATGGTCTTCATGTGTTGCCCACGTACCTGCTGATGGCTTTATAAGGGGGACAATGACTGGGGCACTCTTGTGCTCCTTGGGGGTGGTCAGGGATGAACTTGTCGATGAAGAGGATGGCGAAGAGGAGGGGACGCTGGAGGAGTCTCTCTCTCCGCACTTCATGGCCAGGACTGAATGACTGACTTTGGTGTCCAGGCTCTTGGGTTTTGGCAATGAGTTTTCTGGAAGACGTAAACACAATGTAACGGCATGACTTGGATTTCCCATGTAATACTACAGTATAAATCCTACTGTCACAACTTCTGCATGTGACAATGCCCCACAAATATTAGTACAGATATGCTGAGAAACAATAGGTGTATCTGAATGAATGAAACTCGAGAAGTTGCAGCTACAGGTGAGAATGTCTGCTAAAATTGAACAGTGACTCAATGTCTGCACTAAAACCTGCAGAACCTGCTTGATAGTGTAACATCAGAGCTGTCGACACCTGCCCTCACCTTTTAGCACGGACACATGCTGACGCCTCTCTCTGTAGTTTCTGATCTCATTGGCCTCTGACTCTCTGAGATCTACCTTGTCGTAGCCGTACCATCCCAGGAGCTCGTTCATGGTGCTCTCTGCAAACGTCTGCATGAGAAAAGAGGCGAAAGAAATCACTGATTAACGTTCTATGTAAAGGGATAGGGTAACTGAGCCATAGTCTGCCTGCAAATGGGAAATTGTGAGCGTACATCTTAGGGTTGTTAGTGGAACTTTTTATCCTATGTTAAACATAATCAGACCTTCCTACTCTGAATCAATGCGAGGGATTCTTTCTCAGCCCCAGCCCTGTTGGAGAAATGAATACGGGCACAGTGGAGTACAGTATGACGCTTTTTCCATGATGTATTCAAGTTGTTTACTCTTGCTAAATCTGAGACGGAAAGGTTTAAAACCTAACACCAGTGTGAAATCTATGAATCATCCTTTGTTTATCTCTTTTAATTGGAAAAAAGAGGGAGAAAAGAAAACTGTTCTCCGCAGATGGGATGTGTGGTCTCTCTCTCTTTTTTTTATTTTTTTATTACGACCAGATGAAAAAAAAAAAAAAAACAAAACACAAAGGTCTCTCTCTTTATCCACCCACCTCTCTCTGTGGCTTTGGGAGAACCGGATTGGAGGAGAAACCTGATCCGGAACGGGCAGAAATCAGAGCGGGACACCCAACACCACAGCGAGGTCCCACGGTTCTCGGAAATGCCCCACTCCTCTCCCTTCTTCTCTCTCCAATGTCCACCACTCTCTCTCTTTCTCCAGCTTTCCCTGTCCCTCCCCTTGCCCCCTTGCCCCCCTCCTCCACCCACCTCCCATCTTCACCATCCTCCCCTCCACCCCAGCACCTTCCAACCCTGACACCCGACACAGCTCTGCCTCTCAGGTTTCACCCTTTTCCAGCACAGCCAGTCTGCTGTGGTGGTGTTGTAGTGCTGTAGTACTGACTGCACATTCTTTCCCCTGCTTTCCTCACTCCGACCTCTGCTCCGCACTAAGGGCCTCAAAGAAATGGATCTCTCCCTTGCTTGCTCACTTTCTGCTGTGTGTGTGTGTGTGTGTGTGTGTGTGTGTGTGTGTGTGTGTCTGGGAGAGTGTGTGGGTGAGTGCAAGCAGTGGTATCATATCCAGCTAAATATGCCTAACGATGATTAAAGTTAAGTATCCGATGTCTGGTGCTGCGCTCGGGTCTGACGTGGAGGGAGTAGGTCCGAATGTGCTGTTGAAACAGATGTATTACAGAGACAACACACGGCTGGACCTCAGCTGAGCAAGAAATCAGTTTGCCTCCCTGCCTTCCTGTCTGTCTTTCTTTTACTGTCTTTCCTTTCCCCCCTCTCATCATTTGACTCCTTTTAAAAAAAAAAAAGGTGCACATCTCCAGGATTTCACTCTTCAATTAAAGTCTTACATGTTTCCCCATCATTCCCAATTTGGACATCGTGGTGTTCTCCGGAGGGACTACACCGATGGCAGCTCTCCTATATGGATACAGCTCAGTGTCATTTAGTCTTTCTGTTTTCTTGTTAACCAAAGACGGGGCAATTTTTTTTTCTTCTTCTTCTTCACCCACCCCTCCACTTCCCACAATGTTGTTTTTGTTTCTTTTTGGCAGTTCAGACAAACATCTGCTTTGTGAGAGTGACAAGCCATATCCCAAACCACAGAGAGAGTTGCAGCCAAAGGCAACAAACCGGGGCCGACCCTGAGATTCAGCCCAGGCAGGCTTACATCAAGCGGGGATAGTGTTTCGCATGTTTTGATTAAAATTAGTTAAGTTGTAACACTACACCTCCCCTGGATATCAAACGCTACAATCCAAACCACTTACACAAAAAGAGCACATTTCCTCTCTCACGAAAAGCCAGAATCTCGCCCCCTCCCAAAAAAAAAAAGAAAAGAAAAGAAAAAAAAAATGCTTGTCTTTTTAGATTCCTCAGCTCCTGCTTGAGGGAGCCTCGGATATCCCTCACCACCACAGTCACAGTCTTAAATAGCCAGTGTCCAGACCCAAACAAAGCAGACAATCCATGGATTAGTTTCCATGCAGTAATAGGCTCATAATGGTGGGAGGGAATCGTGTCTGTTAGTGTGGTTTAACTTATTATTGCCTGTGCAGTAGCTGTCCTTCAAAGCAAGAAGCAGAGGAAGAGGCTCCTAAAGGACATATCACTATAGTGAACAGTTATATACTGATAGGAATATAAGGAATAGGAGTCTGGTGTGGTGTTTGCATCCTGAAAAAAAAAAATGGTGTGATAGTACATTAGTGTTTTCCCCAGTGTGCTGAGGAAGGCTATTTAAAGGATATAAATGCCCTCTCTCTGTTGGAAGGCATGAGGGCAAGCCTCTGTGGTAGAGCAAGTGTGCAGCACCGCAGGAGCGGGGAAGAAGTGACGCACATCTGGATCTCCGCTGGACATTAGAGTGTGCGCGTCCGGCCACAGCTGGCCTGACATGGCGTCACTAGAAGGCAAAGGCCAACTTTCTCTTCTTCACTGCTTACAGCTATAATCAAAACGTCCCATTCTCGCAGTGTGTGTGTGTGTGTGTGTGTGTGTGTGTGTGTGTGTGTGTGTGTGTGTGTGTGTGTGTGTGTGTGACATTTCCAGTTTAGACTGATAATAAATATTTATTAGAATTAGTTTATTGTCTTCCATGGGGGTAAACTCTGCGCAAGGCCCAGCGCTTTTTTTTTAACAGCCTGCTTCTAAAATGTCTCAGTGAGTTATGATAGCTTACATAAAAGACACAAGGAGAGCATTCATTGAAAACAAACATAGTGTGTATCTGATTATTCCCAGCACTGATTTGTGCGCAGTTGACTCTCGCTGGCCTCAGTAGGAAGACATTGCGTGCGTAAAAAAAAGTTCAAAAAGACGTCTCACTGGATAAAATCTTATCTAGCAGCGGCACACACACTTACTCTCACCTTCATCTCCTGGTTGATCTCCCTCTTTACGGGGTGCGCGGGTTTCCTGCTGCGTTTATTTTCCGGTGGTCTCCCTTTCTCCATCTCTGGCATAGTCCTGATCTGGCTGGATCCGATCCGGATCAGTGATGGGTGTCAGCTGGAGTAGTTCTAGCGGAGCAGGTCAGAGTGAAAGCTGTCACTCCCGGTGACAGCGGCTGTCATTCCCGGACGTCTGAGTCCTTCATGTGGGGCTTCACACCATTCGAGTTCACTGAACATGCGTGCGCTCCGGGCTGGAGGCTCCGCCGCCGAACAATCCACTCTCTCCTCTCCACCGCACTCAAGCTCCTACCGGTACCCAAGATAAGACTTCCGGTCACCAATTTCAAAGTAAATTCCTACTGACAACATACGACTAAACGACTAAAATGACGACGACTAAAATTAGGAACTCTGATAATAGGATTAATTAAAACTAAATAACAAAATTAAGAAAAGAAGGAAAAGTGCAAAAACTTCATTTTTTCATGCTATGATCCCGGTTAAATCTTCTACCCATAACACTGGCTAGAGTTACTGACAGTGTAAAACAGGTCAGGAAAGGACCTGTTGTAAAAACTTAAATTACAACAGTGTAGATCAATTATCCAATTATTAATTCAGACCTATATATAGACTACAAATATATATACACACACTAACAGTAACACTTACACTATTACTAGTAACTATCCTATTATCAACATTCAATTAAATTAATAAATGAATAAATGTTACACAATTTCTTTTATTATCTTGGATATAAATGTGGACTTTGCTCTATTTTGTCCTTAAGACACACGCGCACGCACATGCGCACGCACACACACACACACACACACACACACACACACACACACACACACACACACACACACGCTTAGCTACTTTCCGCTTTCATTATGAAAGCTAAATCGTCTGGCTTCCGGTCTAATCCACGCTCTCTCTGTGCAGCTTGACGCTGCCCTCTCCGGATAGGGAAGGGAGGGCCCTGTGATTTGGTGTAACCCAACACCTGGCGCCCACCCCTCCCAAATCTCAACAGATACATTTCATAAGGAATGCAAAGACTGTGTTTTATCTGAGGGGACACAGTACAAACACTGTCTGTATACTCTTGTCTTAAAATAAAGAGATGAAAAGAGCGCTGTGAGTTAAACGATATCATGGCAGAATGTTTGGGGCTTTCTCAAATGGCATCTGTTTGATCACCGCCCGTGTGTTTCTAACTTTGTGTGTGTGTCTGTGTGTGTGTGTGTGCGCGCGCGCGCACTGCACAGAAAAACACCTGAAATGTCCACATTTGGCCCCTGAGCCACCCTTTGCCTGAAGGAAAAGCCCCGCATGTCTCAGGGCAGGGATTACATTTACATAAAGGGACGTGTGCGTGCAACTAAGATCTTTGAACATAAACATTTGTCCCATGGTTATTCCTGATGGTGAAGGCCAGACGATTCGTTACACTATCATGTTTCTCAGCTGGTGACGAAAAGGATGGAGATGATCAAGTTGATTTCAAAAACATAAACACGCCACTTCACTGTCACCTCGCCACCCAGTCTCAATCAACATCCGGTCGATTCTCCCACTTATTCTGACGAAGTTCATTTACAAAGATGGTCATGTCATTACCAGGCATGTGGGGCAGCTGGGTTTAGATGGCTCCTCTGCGTCCTTAAACGTCTCTCTCTTGCAGGACTTTCACTTGGTCGCCCAACCCCATGCAGGCAGAGAGACAGACAGGTAGACGGGGGTTGGAGGAATCCAGGGACCACGCTCGTGTAAACAGAAACCCGATCCAGAGCGCAGGGCTTGGGTTTCGCCCCCTCGTGGAACCGCTGATGATACCCGATCCGGCTCGGCTTTGGGAACAGGGCTTATCTGATGCCTCACAAAAGGCCCCCTCTCCCCGGCTCTCCATAACAGCGCACATCTGGTGCCTCTGCAGGGAGCACTGTCCCTTTAGGTTCCTCTGGGGGGGGGGGCGGGGGGGGCGGGGATAAGAGCGTCTCAGTATTCCCTCAGAAATCCACTTACACCAATGACAGTATGTATAGGTCTTAAGTTCCAATCCCCAACATCTGGACCGAATCATTAAAATTGGCCACTTTGTGTATCATTACCTATATTATTGCCCACGGACACGAAATTACAGTGAATTTATCCTGTCAGTTTAGAAGATGATTGAAAATGTTGCTGTGTCTTCAGCATTAAAAGGGATGTACAGTGTGATCCCACTGTGCTTTACAGTGAGCTGTAGTCACCGTCGGGGGGCGGTGTCTACCCATAAGTTTTGAATAGTTGTGCCTGTGAATATAGACCGGTGTTTTCCCTGCGTCAAATTACATGCAAATATAGTCATCATGTTCAGGGCATCAGGCCTAGCGACCAAACACACTGACCTGCAGCATCTAAAACTATTTTCTTTGGAATCGGTATTTAGATTTGACCAAAAAAAAAAAAAATTGACATTTTTGACAAAAGTTTTGGAAAATGAATTTTTTTCTTTTTCACAATTTTCCATAACAGGAAATGAATACAGTGGTCCATACTCTAACATAGCTACATACACTGAAAGTTAATTATTTGTGTTCGTCCAAGGCAACAGAATTTAGGGTCTCCAATCAAAACTTTGTTGAAAGGTGTGAGATAATGTTCATGTCCTGTTTTAATCCAAACGAAATCTTAATCTCAACCAACTCTGTATGTGGTGATAAACCAGCAGAAACATAATTACAAATACAATACAAAAAGTAAATCATATAATTGAATCAAAATATGATCAGATTGTGTTTAATCATATGTTGTTGCACTGTAGTTGCACACAGGCCCTACTATTGTGTTGCTGCAGTTTGTTCGTTTACTCATGCGTATAGCCTATATATGTATTAATATAATTATGGGTTATTACAAGTTTTAATGGTTAATTAATTAATTGCCGTCACAGATTAATTGCTATTTTTCTATTTAATTGAGTTTACTTACTATTTATCTTCACATAGTCTTTAGGATAAAGATGCTCAAAAGGGTGATCACAGAATATTACACACCTTCAACGGCAGCAAATTATACAGAAGTTATTAAGGCCTAAAATATAGCCTAAGTTCACGGCTCTAAATGTCCATTAAACAACAAACACAAAACTTTTTTTTTTATGTGTCCAGAACACTAGGTGTCGCTGATGCCACACTTACCCTGCAGAGACAGTTCAACAGGTTGTATTAACTTCTGTTTGCCATTTTCCCTCCTTTCCATTTGATTTTTTTTCTACTCGAAATAAACGTTTTTGAGTTTTACCAGCTGAAAGAGGCGCCTATCATCTCAATTATTATGATCCCAATTACAGCCTAAACTACACAGCATATGAATCCTCATCACCATGGCAACATGACGGTGGGAGTAGTGTGCAGGTGTATTCAGACGATCGCCGGTTCGGTTCGACTTATCTGGCCACTATATAGAGTACAATCTTTAAAACAGGGCGTCGTGCCATTGAGCAAGGCACTTCAACATCCACTGGACAACTCTGCGGATTGGTGGATGGGTCGTGTTGCTCAGCTGACTTCACAAATGTTCAAATAAATAATGTATAAAATCATCCTAAAGTGAGTCATTACTTCCATAAGTTTGAAGTTGCTGCGGCCAAACCACTATTAGGCTACATTACATTTCTGTATATCTCTTATTACAGCCTCAGTGTCCGGGTCCCCTATAGGCTACGTCACAGACCTGCAGCTGGTATAAAAAGCTCCGTCTGATGCAGCGTCCACATTAGAGAGAAGCAGCGTCTGTGGGCAGCCTCCTCCATCTGGCCAAATTACTGCAAAAATAGAAAAAACGGAAAAATTGAAAAATAATAATTAAAAAAACCCCAAAAATGTCCAGAATGACGATCGTTCAGCTTGGAGTGATTGTGTTCGCCATATGTTTATCAACACAGGTAAGATGACATTTCTTTTTTTCCTTTTTTTTTTGGTCCTCTATTCCTTTCAAATGTTTTGTTGCTGTTAAATTGATTTTATGCCTCAAAGTAGTGGTGGGTGTTTCTTGGTAGGGGCGGGGAGAGGAGGGGGTGGGGGTCGGT